TAAATTCTAGCTAAAATGGAGTCACTGGGGCAGTGGGTGTGAGCTTGAGTGGACTCCGGGGACGGTGGAGGGCAGGAAGGCCTGGAGGAATGTTGTCCATGGTGTCGCGATGGGTCGGACATGACTTTGTGACTAACAACAACAAAATTGGGGGGAACAGAGGAAGCTGCTTTGCAGAGCCTGATCACTGGTCCTTTTAGCTCTATATTGCCTACACTGACCTGCAGCTGCAGTAGCTCTCCAGGTTTTAGGGATTCTGGCCTGGAGAAGCTGGCAGATGAACCTGTAATCTGTGGTTTCCCCCAGGCCGTGGCCCTTCTTGGAATGCCCTAGAGCTGCTACAAAGCACCGGAAACACGGTTTTTGCCCTTTGGTCCCTGGCGTCTTGCAGACTAGGCAGAATCATTTGGAGTGTGAAAATGGCTGCTAGAGTTGCCCGCCTCGCCTCGTGAGGGGCTGCAGGACAAAGGGGAGGCTGGGGAAGGGCCAGGGCCAGTGGAGAGGAGCGGAAGAAGATGAAAGCGGGAACACAGAAGTACTGGGGCTGAAGTGGGGAGCTAGAACTGGATACTCTTGGCAAAGAGAGTGCCATGAGCCAGAAAGGGTTGCCTAATTCAGAATATAACCCTGATGGTTTATTATTTATTTATTTAGAATATTTATATGTCATCCTTTCACAGAGCCTCAGGACAGCTTACATAAATAAAAATAATAATATAAAACTTGATACAAATAAAATTCCAGATCCACCCTGGCTGCAGATTAAAACAAATATAGCTAATATTAAAAGTTATTAAAATGTTGTTAGAATAAAAAGGTCATAGCCTGGCACCGAAAAGCAAATAATGACAGCGCCAGGCAGACTCTCTGGGGAGCGCATTCCATAGGTGGGGCGCCACCGCAGAGAAGGCCCTCCTCCGGGTACTCACCCTCCTGCTGTCTCTCCCGGAGGAGGGCCTCTGCTGCCGATCTCAGCGGGTGGGACGGCAAATACGGAAGAAGGCATTCCTTGAGGTATCCAGGTCCCAAGCCATTAAGGTTGTGGCTTTTGCTGTCATTGCAGCGTTGTGGCCTGTAGCCCTAATGGATAGTAGGGGCCAGAAAGCGGCGAAGAGGCTGGCGGCGGCAGCTTCCGCACAGTGAGCGACCGCTGACACAGTGCAGGGTCAAGGGGGATGTGGTGACGGGAGGCAGCCGGGCCATCGTGGCGTGAGGAGTGCAGGAGGGGGCCGGGTGCTCCCAGGCGGGTTCCTGTGTCGGGGAGCCTGAGCAGTCCCAGGAGACCGCCTCCCTGGGTTGGAAGGGGCCACGGTTTAATGCAAGGTCGACAAATGGGAAAAGAGTAGCGATCCCGGACTTGATCCTGGACGAGTTTGTTGACCTGGCCTGCATCATGGAGACCTGATGGGATTACACTGGGGATTAAATGCCCAGCTCTGTGCAACAGGCTTCTCTGCTGTCGCAGGCAGGACTTGGGGGCCACGGTGATCTGTGATTGCCGGTGAGGACAGCAAAGACTTGTACTTCTCTGCCACCATTGCCTCTGCTCAGGACTTGCTCAGCTGCACTTTGCCAAGTGACCTGAGGCCTGTTATGCTCTGGCCTACAAGAGGAGGAAAGGGCCTCTCAGCACTCCGCCGTGACCAGTGTGTGCAGCACTTTCCAGATAAAATCAATTGCACCGGTGCCGACTTGAACGCCACTGTTAATACAGGCCTGGTGGACGTCACTTTGGCTCCTGGGTGTCCAGACATGATGGATATTTTCCCATTTGTGTGGCCTGAAGATGGAGCAGATCCTTGAGGAGGTGAGGGCCGGCTTCTCGGCTCCAGGGATTTCTGATTGAGATGGATGCCCCAGTTCTGTTTCACTCTGGCCTCAGGCCAACAATTTGTCTTTGGTCAGCCTTAGTGGACAGTCTGTGCCTCTGCTAATGCTGCTGGACCTTTGGGTGGCTTCATTGCCATCAGCGATGGCGCTTCCTTGGGGCACTTTTCTGAGATGGGGGCTGTTATTCAGTGGCTGCAGTTCTGCTTGGAGGAGCCGTTCTAGAAGGGCTTTCTGTTGGACTGCGATGTCCCTTAGGGGTCCCTCTTACCCTCATGCTGTTTGTACATGAAATTTCAGGAGAGCTTATCTAGGGTTTTTTTTTTTTTTGGGGGGGGTGGGGGATTGCTGCCCTGGTGGAAAAACAGACTGGGGAACAAGTTCAGCCTGTGCAAAATGGGATTCTGCTTCCGCGTAAGACTCGGACTCACACTTTGATGGTACTCTTGCACTCAGCCTTGAACCTGGGTGCCCAGGCCTCAGCCGTAGCCAGGACTGTGTTTACATAGCTGAGGCTCGTGTAGTGGGGCCCGGGAGGCCCCTTCTGACTCGCTCTGTTTCTGTGTTTCTGCACCCATTCCTAGAAGTGCACGATCTGATAGCTGCTCAGTTGCCCTGAGCTCCTGCTGAGCTGCAGGAAGAGATGTGCTGTTTTCTCTGGGTGGACGGAGCAGCCTTTGGGTGCCTTTCCCTTCCATCTGGTGCCGCGTGGCTCCTATCTAATTCTCCTGATAGGACAAGTTCCAGATTGTCACGTGCTTCAAAGTGCTGGGTCACTCATCTGCTGCTGATTGGCGCAAGCTGTTGCTTCTTGATATACCCAAAGGAACGTTCCCTGGAAAGCCCACTATTTAGTTTCCTTTGGACATAAGCCCAACACATCGGGGCAGGTTACACAGGTTCTTTTTGTATGCTCTTGGAGCCTTCTTGCGATTATACTAAGAAATTGTTCAAGGGTGTCCAGTGTGGCCAAGCAAAGAATCTCTTCCTAGGCCGTCCTAGAACAGAACTCTAGAATTCTTGTGTGGTTACACAGTTTTTACTTGGAAACAAGTTCTCAACTCTCCCCTTTCTAAGCTGCTGCATGTGTGTGTCTCTGTTCAAAATGTTAGTTCATTACTGATTTTAATGTTTAGTTTGTTTTAACTGGGGCTTTTATCTTGATGTCTGGATGCTGTGTTGTTTTGCTATTTTATTGTTCTTTATTGTAAGCCATCCCAAGACATCAAAGTGGTGGATGGGGTATAAAAGTTTTAAATAAGTAAATAAATAAAATTGTAAGTATACCTGTTCTTAATCTAAGTGGTTCTTGACCACGTGAGTACAACTGAAAAGAATCCCACTGGATGTCGTGGGGACGTTTACCATTCTGTGGTCCTTGCTGTTACATGGAATTTACTGTTCCATGCTGGAAATTCTAGTGGTCCGTGTTGAAATTGAGTTGTAACAGATGTTCACCAGTGATCACAAACTAGACTGCACTTGACCATTCAGATCATTCTGCAGAATTCGGTGCAGCTGCCAGGTTTGTTGAAGATCCCTGCTTCCATTCTAGCACAGCCTTCTTTGGAAGCCAGGCCTGGGTGACCTTTTCCTGTTCTTTCCTTGTGGAGGCTCACATATATTTCTCATTAGTAACTCGGCCTACAATTGAAGTCTCTACCTCACACAGTTCTTCATTACTAGTGAATTGCTTTTAAAAATCTCATGCTCTCTTCTCTTCCTATTGCTATAGCCTTTTCACGCGGGTGCTTTTTCTCACACGTGCTTGAGTGTCCGTCTGCATGTGGGAGCAGACGGCCAGTTATCCTTGGACTTGCACACTCTCTCAGCAACGTGGTTCACTGCGCAAGGTGGCATCTCAGCCCAGAGATCTGTCAGCAGCATCCAGCTGAAGCAGGATCAGCTGGGTCAGCCACTGCCTCTCTGCACGTGGAAGAATGTGATCCGGAGCGCACATGCTCATCTTGCTTGTGGTGAATGAGAGTGAGGAAGCGAGAGGCTTCATCGGGTTGCATCGGGCCATGTGGCTGCTCTGGTCTTTTCCGGTGAACGTGCCCAGTGGTCATGTGGTGGTCTGGTGGTCATGTCGCATGCCATTCTGCAGCAGACTTGTTCGGGTTGCTATCTGCTTGATAGGGACCTGGGAAAAAATGAGTGGGAAAGATTGCCCCCACACCCTGCTTGTTTCGCTATCAATTCTTTTCTGCTTAGGCTCTGGAACTTGAACTGGCTCAGAGCAATTCACGCTCCTCAAGGAAACACCAGCTCACCTGTCTTCGAGGGCAGGCTTGAGACGCACAGGCCTTGCCTTCAGGTGGCGAGCCTGATAAGCTGTCAGAACCTGCCTGTGAACTGGAGCTGCAGGAGCGGAAGGCACGTGGGGGGCGGGGGGGGGTGCCTTGGCCGCCGTGTGGCCAAGGTGCCTGGAGTGCCAGGACCACACAGGGCTGAGTAAGGAAGTTCGCTCTGACCCAGTTCTCTGAGGATCTGGAGCAGGAGGGCTTGGCAACCACAATATTTTGCCTGGCTCACACGGCCTGCCAAAAATGGCAGACCTTTGTGACTCTCTGAAGGGCAGCATGCATCTTCTCACCCATTTGGGGCTCAACTGCTCAGCTGTTGGGAAGGGTGACACGCTGCACGGATGCCTCTGCTTGGGGATGCGAATGGGGGCGGGGGGGTCAGTGCAGGGACGCCTCAGTCGTGGCTTCTTTTACATTCCTTTTATTTCTAGGTAATACGAGAATTGACCCCAATAAGTGCTTGATAGAAGTCACAGTAAAGGATGGCCAGTGGCAGCTCTCCATCTGTCTCCCGTAATTCATGCATTGTGACTCCATCCATTTCCTAGCTCTGTGTTCTCTCGGTCACTTTTTCCACCCTCCTTGCCCATCCTGCTTCAGCTGGGCCATAGGTCTGTGATGCGGCCGAGGCCTAGCGGAAGTGTCCTGCGGTTCCTCACAACTCCTGAAGGAAAAGACAGGCTTCTCCAGATCGCCGCCAGCTCAGGCTTGGAGCTGTGGCACCGTCCTGGAATCCCGATGTTGCTCAGTTTTTTCCTCCATTGCTTTCCCCATTCCATTTCGTTCGTTGTTCTCCTCTGAAGCCTGCAACAACGGTCTTTGGCTCTGAGCATGGGCAGAGTTCACAGGACCATCCCAAACTCCAGTTTTGCTCTGATTGAGATGGATTTTAGCAGACCTGTTTGTTGCATGTTGTTCAGGCATTTGCCCCCCTCCCCCCCCTTTTGTTGTTCCGATGCTGCAGGCGCACCGTCAACCTGTGCTGACAAAGCAGGGGAAGGAAAAACCTGCCTGGTGAGGGGAAACATCGCTTCAGAACATGCAGCCCGCTGGTTGCCAAGGAAGGAGAAGTGCTCTGCTTTATCACGTCTCAATCGTTTGCAAAAACAGTCTCTCAAGCGGAGCTGCAAGACGCTGCTTATGGTTGCCAGGTCTTAGCCAAACACCTCATAACACGCAGGCATCAGCAATTGGATGTGTACCTGCCAACAGTGGCACGGGACCCTGCTTCCCTCGAGAATGGATTCACCCCGTGGCCCACTTTGACTGGCACGATGGCTCTAGCTTCTTGCTCTTGGGCTACAGAATTGCAGCCGGGTGATGAGTTGAGTAGGACATGGCCTTTCTGCGTTGGTCAAATTTAATTAAAAAAAAACCCATTTAAATACTTGTTGATGTGCCTCAACCTAGCGCATTTGGGCTGCAGGGTTACTTGCCAGCTGAAATTAATTTTGCAGGCAGAGGTCATGAGAGAACAAGAGCAGGCGTGGATCAGACCAGTGGCCCCTCTGGTGCTGCCTTCTGCTTGTGCAGTGGACGGGCAGGTGCCTGCAGAAGCTTGCGGGGGGGCACACCTGCAGCGGTCCCTGGGGATAATAGGGTGTTGTCCTGACTGATGGCAGCCCTTGTCCTCCAGGATCCTCCTTTACAGACCTCCAAGTTGGCCATCCTGGATTTTCTGGCAGCAAATCCCACAGCTTAACCCCGTGCTCTGTGGAGGAATGCTTGCTTTTATCTGTCCCGGCCACAGCTTACCTAAGGACTGTCATTAGAAAAGAAGACGGAAAAACTCATTTTTCTCACATCATACATAACTTTATGTATACCAACCATATTCCTCCTTTTAAAGGCTAAAAACGGTAACATTTTACCATCTTTCCTCCTAGGAAGTTGTTCTCCCCCCCCCCCCCCCGCACATCTTAGATGCCCCTTTCCAGCCATACAATATTCTTCTTGAGCCGTGACGACCAGAACGGAGTGTGCCGTTCCAACGGTGTTCTCACCTTAGAGTTGTATAGCAGCAGTTATGCTATTTGGCGCTTTCTTTTCAGTTCCTTTCATAATGACCCCCAGCATTGAATTTGCCGCTTTCATGGGATTAATGGTTGACATTTTCACTGAGCTGGCCAGCAGCCCCAAGATCTCTTTCCTGGGCAGTTAGAGCTGGCTTAGATGCCATCCGATGTCTGCAGCTTGAAGTCTTGCTTTTGTCTCCTCAAACATCGCTTGTATACCTAGATTGAACCACATTTGGCATTTTAAATGCCAGCATCTCCCAATTTTGAGAAATCCCTTAGCAGGTCTTTACTACCCCTTTGTGCAAGCAGCCCTCAATCACAGGGCCTCCACACCGCTCGCCATTATGTTAGCGGATACCCAAGGAGGGCTCCAGCAAGACTTGACTTTCCCCTTTCCTGCTTCAGCGATGGAAGGGAAGGCCAAGCGGAATATAATGAGCTGTGTCTGGAGATGCATCGTGCGTCGTTCTTCGCAGGACGCCTGAACAAGGCCATGCGGCAAACACCCTGAAGGTGTCTCGTCCGAGAACGAGCACCTGTGGAGTGGCCGTGCTTCCCCTTTGCTCATGAACTGCATTCACAGGTACCTCCAATGGGAACAGTAGCTGTTCGGTCACGTTCGTCAGGCCTCCAAGATTTCCCACCCCGTTTACCACGCCAAGTGCTGAAGTAGCTTGTTCCAGTCCTGGGGCTTGGAAGGAGGGCTGAGGCCTGCCTCCGCAGAGTGTCGAGCGGGCCTTGGCTTTGTTGTACTTCTGTGCTCACCTGGCAAGCACATTTCCCACCCCCCGAACCCAGCAGAGCTGGAGGGTGTGGCAGACGCACTTGCGCTTGCCAGGCATGCATGAAAGCAAAGCATTGCTCCAGCTTAGACCTTGCACTCTGTTTTGGGGTACAGCACGAGGTCTGGAGCATGAGCTTGCCTTAGCAAGAGAAGTGGTACCCCATAGATTTTTGTTCAGCCGCTTAGTCAAACCCAAGAAATGGGTTTCTCTTTTCTAGTTCCTTCATTGCTGCCCTTCCAAGTCTCAATCATCTCTGAATTTATTGGCTGCAGCCCCCCCCCCCTTTGGATTGATGACTGAGTTTATACATATCTTGCACAATATCGATATCTTCATTTTTAACGGTGTTCTGTGAACATTTTTTTTTAATATCCAGCGGCAGTCTTGCTTTTGTACTGTTTTCTTTCTCTTTTATCAAGAGTTGTTTCAAGTCATTAGGATTACCAGAACCTGAAGTAAAATGAGCCGTGGAGGTTGCAGTGTTAGCCTGGTCTCAGTATATTGTTTGTCAGGATTGACCCTTGGCTGGGACCCCAGGAGAGACGCTCTGTGGAAGTTTTGAGGGGAATGGTTCCCTCTGGAGCAATTACTTGAGGCGGGAGAGAAATGGTGTAGGCAGGGTCAGAAAGCATGGGATTGCCCGCCACAAGTTCTGCAGCAAGAGGGTGCTTGGTTGGGGTGGTGGCGAGGGGGGGTGGGGGCATGCTAGCTGTTTTATGTGCAGCTTGAGGATTCTTATTAGCAACCATCTTTTTCTGTTGCCTTGGGGCCTTGGTTTGAGCTCTTGGGCTACTCTGACTGCAGCTGTCTTGCCGTTTAGCCTGCTTTCAAAATGTTTGCATCCTGGGAAGGCGTTCTGCAACTGGGAGCCCCCGCTGAGAACGCCCCGTCTTGTGCTCTTACTCTGCACTGGGCTGAGCCAGGAGAACATTCAGCCAGGGCATCTCCTGCAGATGGAAGGGTCTTGGATTTTCTGGTAACAGTGCTGATGTTAGAAGAGTTATTGCACTAGGAAAAATTCCTGTACATCCCTTAGAACCAGAATAGAAACCTACGGTCTCCGTTTCCATGGCAGCCACTCAATTTGGGAACATCCTTTTTTTTTTAATTAATGGGGCATTTTTATTTATTTTATTTATTTTTATATATTTAGAAAATTTCTATGCCGCCCCATTCGCCGAAGCCTTGGGGCGGCTCACAAAACATCAATTACAATATAATACACTAAAAATATAAAATGAATTAACAATATAAAATAAGTCGCCCTGGCCAACATTTCCCCTTGTAAATAAAAGGAAACTCCCAAATTTAGATGGTTGTCAGAGTCGGGCTGCTCTCCATTAGTGGGCCAGCTGCTGTGGGTCCGGGCTGTTCTGCAGCTTGCGGTGCTGAATGGCGGTTCTGAGGTAGTTTGAACAGTGCTGGTCCGGCTTATCCTGGGGTGACTGAAGGCGTGGGGTGGTCCAGAGCCGACGTGCTAGTTTCTTGCTCCGTATGGGGAGCCAGCTGCCTCTGCCCCCCTCCCCACAGCCCCCTTTGCCTCTTCTTTGGCTCCTTCTAGTATAGGTGCATTCCAGTGCGCATTCCGTGCACGCTCATTACATCTCTCTCCCACCAGCGCATTACTTGCGACCGCATCTGAACCACCTCCATGGAGAATAGTTCGGTTGCTCTGTGCTGGGGTTTTCACACGTACAAGTCCTCATTTTGAGGCGGCCGTCTGCTGAGTGGCCGTGCAATCTTGAATCCATCTGTTCCCTTGGGAAGGCCCATGGAGCTGTCAGAAAATCCAAGATGTCACGGCAGGTCTCCTCTGCCTCCTTCCAGGCAGATCAAAACAAAGCATTTTAAAGTAAAACTCTTCAGTCCGTGCTAGAAGACAGAGCAGAGTCAGAATATTGGCCATTAGGAAGAGCTAGAATACCTCTTCTCCCTTCCAGGAAGAAGCACTGATTTCACCATCAGGGTGGGTCCTGCCGCTTAAGGGCCAATAGCCCGGAGCATCGGAGACTCTTCCCCTGATGCCATGCAGTGGGACTAAGGAAATCCTCCTGTATCAGCTAGTTGAGTAGACCTTCCCACAGAGGTTGAAAGGGCCTGCCGCTCAGCACCCGCCTGGCTAAGCCCTTGGCAAGTCAGCCATGTGCTCCAGCCCTTCCTCCCCTTCCGCCTTAGAAATGACACGCGTAACGGGCTGCATTATAGGACTAGGAGGCCTAGCCCCTACGGCAGCCCAGTTTCCTCGGCACCCACACTGCCATTTGAAGGATCACTGGCCCAAGTTAGAAGCCAATGAGAGAGTAAAAGGCCTCTCAAGGACCTGTAGAAAACAGTTGCTGTTGCTCAACGCATTTTAGAGAATGCTTTTGCTTTCATGAGAGGTGAAAGGGCCATATGGCGGCAGCACCACGGACACTTGGTCAACTTGCTTCGCCTGCCATCCCTTTACAGCCTGGGTCCTCAAGCTGCGGCCCGCAGGACGAATCCGGCCTGCCATGCCCATTCGTCCGGCCCACCATAGAGGTTTTGGGCTTGCCGCACGCGTGCGGTGAAGTGGCAACTTGCTTGTGTGGAGATCGTTTTGGACTCGCTTGGAGAAAACTATCTCCGCGCATGCCCACCCTGCCTCGTTGCGTGCGCGCACGTCGTTCTCCCCCCACCCCCCACCATGGCCTGCGCCCTCCGCCTGCACCGCCTTGGCAGCCTGTGCCCGTCGCCGGCACCTTTCCACTGGCCCCCTGTTGAAGAAGTTTGAGGACCCCTGCCGTACAGGGTCAAGGAGCTCCCCCTCCGTCACCGCCTCTTTCTCTCCTGAAATGTCTCCCTCCTTCTCCAGGGCAGGCCGGTTCTCATGCTCTGCCCAGGCATCTTCACTTGGCCTCCATGAACCTTCCGAGCCCTTGCCACCTCCTCTGAACCTGAATGAGCCGCCTGGGAAGAATGTCGCTCAAGTTAGCCAGGGGCCCTCCCTGCACCCCTCTTGCTTCCCCACTGTCCCAGCCTAAGGTTGTTCCCTATTCTTGAGCCGTCGTTTTAGAAAGTCCCAACATGTCACACTGGTACCGAGGCACATGGATGGTGGGACCGAAATACGCAGTTGCTACTGAAATGCTCAAATAGTAATTTTTTGTGCTAAACTGCTGGAGGGTTTTTCTGCTGGAAGCTGTGAAGATCTGCGGAGCGATTCACCAGAGCCCTGGTGGCCTGATAGAGAAGACAGCCTGGTCTGCTTTGCAAGTGCTTGCAGGATTGGCATATCTGTAAGTGCTTGGAGGATGAAGGCCATTGGGATCTGGCGAACCTGCAGGAGACTGTACAAAATGCTTCCCGGCCCTGCTCAGCTTTGCCACAGCGATGCAATCAGTTGTGGAGGCTGCTTTGTGTTCCCGATCTAGATTGTGTTTCCAGCACTAGCCCGTCTTTACTCATGTCTTGACTTCCGCCCTTTCCTGCCTTTGCCTTCACCTCTGATACATGCCGTGCCAGATGTCTTGCCCTTTCCTTTGCTTCTGGTGCTGGCATACCTAGTCAGTTCCTAACCTTGCTTGTACCCGAGTCTGCCTTTCCTCTGGCTCTGCTTGGTCTTGCTCAATCTCACAAGCATTCCAGAGAAGGATGCCTGCTGCTTAGGTCTCAGAGCTGACAGAAGCCCTTCTGTGTCCCCAGAAGATTCATGTGCCTTCTCTTAGGCACAGCCGCCTCAGGAAGCCTCTTCTTCCAACGCCAAGCGCCTGGCAGCCCAGGCCATGCGGCGGCCCCAACTACGAAAAGGCCCTCCCTGCAGCGGGTTCCTCCAGGAGAGTCTGCTTAACCCAGTTTCTGTCTGGTTTGAGAGCTGGCGAATACATGACACCACTCAGAGAGCAGAACCCTTATCTGCAAGTGTTTGGAAAACTGCTGCGTGGGGAGCGCTGTAATTCAGCCGTGGCAGCTGCTGAATAAGGAGTTTGTGTTGACTTCTGAAAATACCATGTGCTATTAATGGATTTTTTTTCCGGGCCTGCCTAAACTGGAGGTGGCACAGAGCTAGAGAGATGAGTCGGCCTCGCAGAACTTGCATGCCAGCGTCAGATCAATTTGTGACATCCGGTGCTTCCTTCGTTGTGAATGCATTGCTTGGAGGATGTGTTCCCCTCTCTCTGACTGTCCTTTGCCAGAGGAGCTTGCTAATCTTAGGCACGGAGCCCAAGAGGTGCAGCCGTGGAGTAAACGTAGGCACCTTTCCCAGGTGGGTCTCCTCCAGAGGGGCTGGACTGCTGCACGCAGCGTGCCCAGCTGGTGTTGCCGTCCAGGTGGGAAAAGGCTGGTGCAGGGAGTGGCTGTCAGCCTTGCTTGAAAAGCATGACTGATCCTTGCTAACGTAGGATCAGACTTGGAACCTAACCTAGCAGGAATTACCCTTTTGGAATTGCTCTTTTGGATTTAGGAAGGACTCTTCAGTGCCTGCACGGCAGGGGCTGACACTGCTTGGCTTCCGCATGGGAGCCAGCGGCCGACACGTAGACTGTGTACCTGCAACCTCAGTTGCTATGCAGGTGGGCAGGCAGGAGGTCTCTAACCCGGAAGGTTGGTCAAAGAAGAGTTGTATCTAGGGAAGCTTGCAGCGTCCTTCAGGATGGGTGTGAACTAAGCAGGTATCCACATGCTGGGCTCTCAGACTACCAGCAGCTCAACTTGTGGCATTGCCAAAACTGTCCCCCTCAGACCCATACAGCCTTCAAATACTTCAGCTCTTTTAAAGATATGACATAGTCTCACTGTGTGCCCAGATTTCCACACAGCTTACAAATTCCTTGTCTTTATCCAGAAAAAGATGGCTTCTTTCACTTAAACCCCACCTTTTCTTCCAAGAAGTAGACGATGGTATACATGGTTCTCTCTCCAATCCCTATTTTATCCTGTGAGATAGGCCAGTGAAGAGAGGGGCTGTATTTGGGTCTCAGCAGCTGGTATCTGGTGACTTCTAGGAAATAACAGATGTTAAACAGTTGGGGGGCTGGGTTGCCTCCTTTCACTTCTGTTTCCTTCGCAAGGTTTTAGGACATGCGCTGAGTGCTCTACCAGCTCCGTTTTATCCTTGAGCACTTTGTCATGCCTGCATAGCCTGAACTGCCTGGTCCTGCCTAGTCTTGGGAGCTAAGCAGAGTCAGGGCCTGGTTGAAATCTGGGTGGGAGACTTGAATGTTGTGCACCACCCAGAGAGCTTAGGCTGTGGGCAGTTTTTCAGCATCATCTTCATCATCAGTTTTCTCCTCCTCCTCCGTTTGCAGAGACTCCCGAGTCTTCTCCTGAGTCCTATAACTTCTTCCTTTCTGAATCTTTCAGAGTCCAGCTCATTAACCCTTTTGTTGGCCTGCCCCAGTGCTTTTTTGCTTCTCAAACTTCCCCAGGTTGTCACTTTTCGTAACGCTCCATCTCCTGCCCTTCTCAGCATAGATCGCCGGAGCCATTTTGCTTGCTCTGTGGGCCAGCCTCGGGGGTGCTCAGTGGGGAGGGAAGCGAACAGCCCCCAGCACGGAAGGGCGAGCTCTTCTCGCTGCTTTGCCTATTTGCTGGCTTAAAGTGCCAGGCTCCACAGTCGATAAGGAGTCCCTGCCCCTGGGCTTACTATCCGGAAGCCAGACCTCCAGAAGAGGAGAAGTGGGCAGAGAGAAGCGCCAAAGCCAGCGTAGGCACTGACACCTCAGGTCCAGGTTGTGCTAGATGACTGTGTAAATTGTGGCTTTTCTCTCTCTCTCTCTCTTTCAGGCTCACATTAAATTCCCTATGGACTATCCATATTCACCACCAACCTTCAGATTCCTGACCAAAATGTGGCACCCCAACATTTATGAGGTAGGTGCGTGTGTGGGCACGGAGCGGCTCGTCTTGCCGAAGCAGAGGTCGCTGCATTGCACAACTCGGCCAAGTTACTGGGACAACGCAACCTTGTTATCTGCTCTTTTCGCCTGCTTCCCCCTCCCCTGGCTCTTTAAAAGAAGGTATTCACCATTATGAAGGCAACAATGCAGTTTCAGGCTGTGGGTGAAGCTGCACTTCTAGCAACCGTGCTATTCAAGCAAGACAAAAGCGTGTCAGTCCAGCATAGTCTCTCCTTGCATGCTTCTCTCTGATGACAGACTTAAAGTCCTGGCTCCTCTCTGCACCTTGAACCTGGCCTGTCAAAGCAGGACTGGACTGTCTTCGCCTTCAGCCAGACTGTTAAGGGTCTGTTATCGGACCATCCATGTGGAAGAGGATGGATTGAAAGCAGAGGCATACCAAAAGCTGGTGGAGAGCGTGTTCGGCCTGCCTGCTGTCGACGCTGATGATTTCTTTAACCCAGTCGAGAGCGCATTGGCCCAGCCAGCAGCACCGCTCAATCCCCCCACCCCACACTGTGGTCCCCCATCTAGGGAGCGTGGCGCAGCACCTCAGCACCTGGGCATGAGCAGGGCTCAGGTCAGGCAGCTGTCCAGCCGCTCCCCCTGCGTGAAAGGCCGCTGGTCAAAAGCAAGCGATAGCTGGTGGAAAGAGTAGCTTCCGAGAAGTCGGAAGTCTTCTGCAGCGGCAGTCCTGGAGTGGAGATGAAGCAAGGCTGCCCAGTGGCTCAGGGGACACACTCACCGGGTTGGGACACACTGAAGCCTGTTGTGGGTTCGGCCATGATGGGCTGTGACCCCACGGCCCCCAGGCTGCATACGCCACCCCCACATTGCGGGTTGTCATATCCTGCAAATCTGGCAAACGATAAACAACCCTCCCATAATTTATGAATAGGCCGTGGGGCTGTGGGGGGGGGGTTGTTTAACCCTCACATAACTCACGCCCTCTGGGTTTGCAAGATGTGCCACTCCTCCAGTGCAGACTGCATATTCGGAGTGGGGGGCATAAGCACCCCCCGCGTGCCACAGCCTCACGGTGGGGCAACCCCAGTGGACTGCCATGCGGGGCAGACGCCCTCCTCAGTCTCTTGGTAGCTTCTTTCCAGAAAGGGAGATACTGGGTTCCCTCTTTGCTGGGCTGACTTACGCTCTGCGAAGCTCACCCACCGCCTCATCCCTTCTGCAGAGCTGTCATTCCCAAAGGCCGTGCCGAGATGTCCGTGTGGTCGGGAAACTTATTTTTATCTCGCCCTTCTTCACAGAGAGCCCAGGGTGGCCATAACAACCTATATAAAACACGACCGAACACGTCAGCAAGGCTAAAGGCTAACTCGAAAATCGCAGATCTGTAATAAAAGTGGATGTATGTCTGATTACTCACAGGATGAGCCAGCCCTGCCAGATCAGACCGACCATCTCTCTAGGTCAGCAGGGGCCTGCCAGCTGCCCACAAGCAGGACAGGAGGGCAACAGCCCCCGCCTGCATACTGTCATCGGGGCTCACAGCCACGGATCGCCGTCACCTCCACAAATTTGTCTGGTCCTCTTCTAAAGCCATCCAAAGCCACTGGTGGCAAATGCCACTTCCTGTGGAAGGGAATTCTGTAGTTGTAACTGCCCTGTGTGAAGGAAGGCTTCATTTTATCTGTCCTGAATCTCCCACCAATGAGCTGCATGGGATGAGTGTTTTAGGCACCATAAATACAAGCACGGAAGAAAAATGTCTCCCTGTGCACCTTCTCCACACCAGGTACAACTTTGTGCACCTGAATCCTGTCTTCCCTTGCATGCCTTTTTTCTAAGCCAAGCAATCTAAGCTCATGTTAGAACCTTTCTTGATGCAGGAGGGTCTCCAGTACCTGGAGAGTTTGAGTCACCCTCCTCTGCACGTCATCCTGTAGGAGACAGAACTGTGCACAATATTCTAAGTGTATCAGAGGTTTGTAGAAGGGCAGGGTGGTGTTGGCCGTTTTGTTTCCGGCCCCACGGGTCACTCACATTTTTCACACTGAGGGCTCTCCATAGCCCCACAGATCTTTCTGGTCAGTCAACACAAGCTTAGATCCCACCAGCCTAAATACGAATTTGGGAGTTGTTGCCACAGCGTGCGTTACTTTGCCTTTGCTTATATTGATCAGCATTTGCCCTTCTGACACCCGTTCTCTCTGTTTGGAGAGATCCCTTTGGTGCTGCTCCTGATCCGTTTGGCTTTTAATCATCCTCGTTAATTCGGTGTCATCAGGAAACCTGACCACTGGACTGCTAGCTCCTAATTTCAGCCCTGGTCCCAGTACAGAATCCTGTGGAACCCCACCGTTTACATCCCTGCACCAGGAGAAATTCCCATTTATTCCTACTCCCGACTCTCTAGTCTTTAACCACCTCTGATCCGTAAGAGGACCTTGTCCTGCACTGGTTGCTCAGGCGTCACTTGGACTTTCAGAGGTTTCCCTCCCTCGGATCACCCTTGTCCACATGCTTATTTGTGCTGCCAGAGAACTTCGAAAGGGTAGTGAAACAGGCCCGCCTTCGCAAACATTGAGCGGATGCTTCTTCCGCAGAGCTTGCCCTTCTCCGTGCTCACTAATTTTATCTTTATTGCCTCCAATCAGTTTGTCATCCAGAACAGATGTTAAGGCAACTGGCATGGTTTCCTGGACCTCTCCTGGAACGATCTCTAACAGTCGGCACTCATGAGCCAGCCTCCACTGGTCAGATACAGAGGCTGATCTGAGGAACGTGCATTATTAAATGCATTTTATTAAAAGTTTAGCAATTTCATATTTGAGCTCTTGAAGAACTGTAGGGTGGACACCACCTGGGCCCTGCGATCTGCTCACTTTCGGTTTGTGCATGAGGCCAAGAACTGTTGTCACTGCCAGTTGCCTCAGTCCCTCAGACTCCCTTGAAAGCGGCAGTTCAGATACCTTCTTTTTTTCTTATTTTTATTTATTTAAAATATTTCTTCCCCATCCTACATGAAAATTGTCCCAGGACGGCTTGCTTCTTCTGAAGTAAAGACTGACAAAACCACTCGCCTCAGTTTCTCGACTCTTCATCCTCTTTTAGTTCTCCTTGAACGTCATTATCGAATGCTCCAACTGTGGTTTGAGCTTCCCACTTCGGATGTGCTGACAGAAATCTCTCCGATTGGCATAGTGCCCCTTAAATGGGGGAGGGGGGGTCCTGTCCCCTCATATCTCTTCTCCCGAGCTCGAGCTCCTTTTGTTCCCCTGGTTTAAAGAAGACTGTTTTCTGAAATGGCTCCTGTGACCTGCCCATTAACCAAATTGCTGATCTTTGGACTCCGTGCTCTCTCGCTCAACCTGCGGGATGCATCCAGTTATTGCACCGTTGCATAACTGTTAAGCATGTTGAGCGATTTAAGCTCTTTGGACTCCCCTTTCAACTTCCTTTTCCTTTTAAAGAAGTTTCCTCACGTTGAGCAGAACTTAATGTCTAGTACTAAGTCTGTAGGATCTTGGGATTAAATGCCGGGTCGCTGTCCCTCTGACTCATTCTGCAACCAACTCTTCCAGGGCTCAGTTGGCCATGGAGCAGTGAGAAATGTAGCATCTTTCTTGTGACTGGAGAACGCTCATGCGATCAGTGTGGGCATAATTGGAAGTACAGTGTTGCAACACTTGCTCTTCTGGAGACCCCCAGCTTTCCATCTCAAGGTCCCCTTGAGCATTCTGGTCTGGGGGACAGCAGCATGTTCCTGGTACTAACTGAGGTTTCAAGCCTGGTGTTGTCACCCACGGCGCTTCTGTGGAAGAGTCGCCCTTTTCGAATCTGCCCTGCCTCTGACGTAGAGAGGGCACCTTTTCCCGTACGCCCTTCTTTGCCCCTCCTGCACAACTTCTGTTCAGAGACGGCCGCGTCCCATTGGTTCTTGCCATCCCACCAGATTCCCCCCCCCCCATTTATATCCTGCCTTTTCCCTACAAAGGGCTCAAGGCAGCTTACATTGTTCTCCTCCTCCATCTTATCCCCACAACAACAACCCTGTGAGGTAGGTTGGACTGAGAGCCTGTGACTGGCCCAAAGTCACCCTGTTGGCTCCATGGCTGAGCCGGGACTCGAACCCAGATCGTCTGGGTCCCAGTCCCATGCTCTTAACCACTATGCCACACAGATTCCTGTAACTCCCCCCGTCCATGGGTTGTCAGCCGCACTCACATCTTGGCTGGCAGGCCTCTTGCGGTGTCCCTCCCGGCGTGTGCTTCCTCTGCTTTGGCAGTTCGGCCTCTTGGACTGGCTAGTATGGTCCACCGTGTGCGCATGCCCCTGCTAGGAGACCCTGGGGGCCGGTTGGATCCAGGGACGTGCCCCCCTCTATAGCTGCATGTTTGCCATTCGTGCGAGGAGGAGGGGACCGCTCGGCAGCTGGGCGTCTCAGCCCTGTGGCTGAGCTCAGCGGGTGCCCGCCTTGCTCGCACGTGGACCCCTGGGTGCCGGTGTGGGATGCCCCCTGCCAGCGCTCCTGGGGCGTGGAGCGCTGGCTCCCTCGCAGGCCGCCCCGTCAGTGGCTCTGCGTGGCTCGGCTCAGCGGCTGTGGCGGCCACCCGGTTAGGGGGCCTCTTGGAGGGGCAGGGTGGCGGCTGCAGCTGGCCGGCAGGGCTGCGCCAGCTCCCGGTGAGCGGACATTGAGGTCAGCTGAGCCCCCTGGGAGTGCAGAGTTTCTGTACAGGGCAGGGGACAGTAGTCGGTACATCTCTGGATGGGGGCTGTGGACAAAAGGCAGGTGGTTTGGAGGTGGTGCCGTTCCAGATCCGCTGGGATTGCAAGGGGCTGAGGCCAGGGGCTGCTTGAGGAGGAGGCGCGGTTTTTGAGCACTGGAGCTGTTGTGTGCTTGCCAAAACTCAGGGTGGGTTGGACTCCCGCACTTGGGATGAGTTTACTTCGGAGCTTTAGTTGGTGAGCTGTTCTATAAGACATAAAAACCTGGGCCTGCACTGCGCCCGCCGGCAGCCGGTCTGCCCTCCTTGGCTTGCCGTGGTCCCTCCTGCTCGCTCGGCCTGCCCAGTGGCGCTCGGCCATTCCCACCTGTGCAGCACCTCTCCTCCCACTGAACACTTCCGTGCCGGGCGTGGATGCCCCTGAGGCCTGCAGAAGCACCGCCGGCCCCGATCGCAGGCTCCCCGCTAACCAGAGCACCTTTGCGGGGGATACGGTCTGAGGCTGGGGCAGAGGACTTCTGCCCGCTGCGCTCGGTCCCCCCCTCAGCAGGATGGGTGGCAAGGCCTTTCCTGCCGGGACAGTGGGAGCAGCGCAGTCCTCGGACGGGACAGCGCAGTGTGTTCAACTCTGGCCCAAGCTGAGTGGAGCCAGGGCCCTTCTCTGCACAAAGGGAAGTGCAGTGGCACCATGGACCCAGCCCGCAAAACAATAGGCTGCATAAATGGGTCATTAATTGGCGCCCAGGGGCAGAGGCATGCGAGACGGCAGGATCTCTCTGGAAGGGGACATGGTCGCCCAGATGCTGCCAGTGGGGGCACGGCTGAAGCGGCAGCCCTGGGACCGGGACCAGGCCTCCCCAGACAAGCTGAAGTGCCAGGATGGCTGAGAATTTGGGTCTTAGGCATTTAGGGGTCTCCACACGAAGTCTGGCCTTGTGAATTGGACCGGGGCTCTGCGTGACCGCTGCTGCAAGCAAGCCAGAGCGCTTGTTGGCGCTGCCCTGGTCACAATATGAAAAATTCAGCGGAAAAGAGAAAAGGTGGGCAGAAGTGGCCGAACTGTTGAGGAAGGAAGCCTCCGGCTCGGGTAAATCCCATGCGGAATGGTCAGGAATGCTGGTGGCGCTTGGCCAAGGCGGCTGGAGGGCACTGGGCTGGGGGAGAGCCGCTTCCGGCGCATGAGGGGTGCTCCTAGGTTAGAAGGCAGGATGAGGTGACTTGGGCGTGCGAGCCCGCGGTCCAGGGAACAAGCCGCGGTCCGATGCAGCGCTTGTGTGCCTTGCAAGCCGCCAAACTTCTGCTCCGGCCCTCGAGGCCCAAGCTGCGGAGCGTGTGTCGGCCGCCAGGTGCCAGTCCTCCGCTTGCGCGCGCGCTCACGCTTCCCTCCGCCCTGGCGTGGCAGCGCAGTCCTGCCTCAAGCCCATGGGCCTGGCGCTGGGGCCTTGCTGGCTGAAGCGGACTTGCTCTCCTGCGGCGCTTTGGCGCCCCCTCCTGGGACTCTGGGGGTCCTGAGTGCCGAGCAAACAAGCCCGTTCTGTGGGTGAAAGCAGTGCGGCCACGCGCATGTGGGGGACTCCGGGCGGCTAGGGCAAGGTGTGGGGCGACCAGGCCCGGTGGCCGATGCTTCCACCTGTGGGGAAAGCAGTTGAGTGGGAGAATAGTTGCCTATGAGGGGAATGAGAGGCCGGCAGAGGGGGCCAGGCCGGCGTGCACACAGGGCGCTCCGTCCCCAGAGGCTGGTTCCAGGCCCGAAGGGGCGCCGACTGCCCAGCCTGACCTCGCGTGTCCCTTTTCTTTTGGCAGAATGGAGATGTATGTATTTCAATCCTTCACCCGCCTGTAGACGACCCTCAAAGTGGAGAGCTCCCGTCTGAAAGGTGGAACCCCACCCAGAATGTCAGGTGAGGCCCTGCAGCGGGAAGGGGCTGCTCCGAGGGTCCCTCCGTGCCGCTTCCCCTTGCCTGTGGGGGAGAGAAGACAAGGATCTGTCTGAGGTGCTTCGGTGCTTTTTTCAACCCCCCAGTTCGGCTCGGAGCTTAATTCAGGCTGAGCGCTCAAGGCCTTTGTGCCGCTGACTGTCAAACGTGGGGTCGCCCTCACAGAGCGGGTCCAGGGCTGAACCTGTTCCTGGGTGTCCCACGTATTCAGGCGTGCGGTTCAGGCCTTCCTGTGGCCTGGCTTCTTAAGGTGCAGCCTGCCAAAAATGGCGAAGGGCCCATTTCAAAAGCTTGCCTGGGGGAGAGGAACCACGTGAAGGCAGAGCGGCTTCCGGGACTGGAGTGCCGTCTCTGCGGTGACCGGAGGGTGGGGAGGGGCCCTTCCTCTGTCTTTTGCTTGTGGGGCAAAACGGGCAGCCCCCTGGCACACAGCGGGGGGCCTTGAGCCCCACAGGGCCAGCCGGGCCCTCTTGCCACGCCGCCGCTGTTCAGCCTGGCCTTTCCTGCGAGGGAGGCGGGTGGGGCTCGTGCCGGAGCGGCTTCCCTGTGGGGAAGGGTGGTGGCAGGAGCACGCCCCACACCGTCCCGCTGGGCCCCGCCAGCAGGGGAGTGCTGTACGGGGGCCCTTTGCATTTGCAGTGTCGGGACAAACACCGTTCTGCGCCCGGGGCGGACTCTGCCGCGAGGCAAGCCAGCAGGCCGGCCTCGGCAACCTGACACAGGCGGCTGGCTGGCTGGCCGACTGGCTTGCTGTGTGGCTCACCCCTCGCCCTGCCCTGTGCAAACCCGGGGCCAAGGTAGGTCCTGGCGCGGCCCCGGAAGCGCTGCCACAGCCTCCCTGGGAGGCACCACACCAGGCCGCTCCGGCGGTGCCTCAGCAAGAGCAATTCTCCCAAGGCTGATGGCTGTGGCAGGCCAGCCACGTCGTCTTGTGCGAGCGAGCGAGCGCACGCCTCCCTTCCGCACTGGGGCATGGGCGGCGCAGTCTTCCAGACCAGGGCGAGAAGCCGGCTTCCCGCCCCGGCTGGGCAGGAGATGCAGCAGCTGCAGAGGGGGCGCACACTCTCACCAGCCCGGCCCAGACCTTTGCGTTGCTCTCTAGGGGGACTGGCCTCACCCGCCCTGCATCTGTGGAGCGGCAGCGGAGGAATGCGGGTGGCAAGCGTTCCTGCGCAGCTCCGTCCGTGGCCCTGCCTAGCGATTCGATTCGAAAGGGCGACTGCTTGGCTCGCTCACACTGCGCTGTGGTGCGTTGCGCTCCCCGCCGAGGCATCCGGCCGGCACTGTGGAGCATAGCGCTGGATGAGACACATCTCTGGCCTGATCCGGCAGGGCCGTCTTCCCAAAATCCAGCCATGGAAAAGTTCGAGTGGCTTTGCACGCCGTGTGGTCCTGATTCTCCCCTCCCTCCTCTCGCTTCCCCCAGGACCATTCTGCTGAGCGTCATCTCCCTGCTTAATGAGCCCAACACCTTCTCTCCGGCCAACGTGGATGCTTCGGTCATGTTCAGGAAATGGAGGGACAGCAAAGGAAAAGACAAAGAATATGCTGAGATCATTCGGTAAGCCACGGGGCCTGCTCTTCCTCTTGGGGAGCTACTGGGGCCATCTCTTGGGTGGAGCCAACTCTGAGCGAGCCACGGGGCCCAGCCGAAAGCCCTGCAGCCGAGTCAGCACAGCAGGGCCCCCTTTCCTGGGGCAGCGCCTGCCCGGGTCAGCATCGGCCGCTCGTGGCCGCCAGAGGTTCGCTGGGGCCTCGTTCTGCTTCCCGAGCAACGCTGCCGCAGCCAGAGAGCCGCACCTGGAAGGCACTGCCTGAGCTCCACCGAGGTGTCCTGAGGAGGAAGGCCTGTTTCCGCATGGCTTTGAAGGCACAGTGGGGGCCCTGGCAGCAGACTTGGGCGGCGGTCTGCCTCCTCCTCCTCCTCCTCCTCCTCCTCATGCAGGCGCAGCGTGCAGGGCAGGAGCGCAGCTCAGCCACAGAGCCCTCGGTTGCGTGGCGGAGGTGGCCCGCTCAGTCCCCAGCAGCTTCTCCAGCAGGGTGGGAGCAAAGCCGCTGGAGCCCCCGGAGAGCCACTCCCCACCGGCACGGGCCGATCACTGAGCCGGAGGGCGCTGGGGGTCGGGCTCCAGCGTCTCTGGAAGGCACCAACTTGGGGGCAACGTCCTTAAAACGCTGCTGCTCCTCGGGGCAGCTTGGGGTGTGGGCAGCAAGCTCTTCTCGCCTGTGTGCGCACACTCACACGCTTCCTCGGCTGTGGCCCGCCGTCCTCGCAGCTTGCCCCGTCCTGGCCGTTCTGCTGCAGCACCCGTGCCGATTTCGTCCTGTAACAAAATGCTCCTATGAGATCTGTCCCATTCTGGAATCGAGAGTCCGGGGCTGGCCAGGGTGGAATGCCGAACACCCGCTGTTCCTTCAGCCCCTGAAGGGTTTGTTCCGCATCCCCTTGTCTCCTGAACCTTGAAGTCAGTGCAGCAGCAGCTCCCACCAGAGCTCGGGCACCCGAGTGGCCACTTTCCACGCCTGCTGCCTCTGGCCCCTGGTGGCTGCCCCTCTTCTCCAGGTGGGGCAGGCCATGGAGGGCGGCGGCAATGCCCAGACAGCAGAAGGCAAGGGCCTCTGCGACGAACATCGGACCACAGCCGCCTCGCCCAGCACTCCCCTCTCACGAGCAAAGCTGCGGGGCACGTTCTGACCTGCAGCGGGGGGCAGGGGGGAGGCCAACCTGGGGCCGGTGGAGCCCCGTGCCCTGGCTGAAGGCCCGCGGGAAGCGCACGGGGGCTCATGGGGCTGCTGCTTGCGGGCGGAGGGTGGCGGCCTGGGCGGGTGGGCTTTGGGCGGGCTCCGCGGCTGAAGAGCAGGCGCGTCTGCCTCTGTTTTGCAGGAAACAAGTCCAGGCAACCAAGGCAGAAGCAGAAAAGGACGGGGTGAAGGTCCCCACCACGCTGGCAGAGTACTGCATCAAAACTAAAGTGCCTTCCAATGACAACAGCTCAGATTTGCTTTATGACGACTTGTACGACGACGACATTGATGATGAAGACGAGGAGGAAGAGGAGGACGCCGATTGTTACGATGACGATGATTCTGGCAACGAGGAGTCGTGACCTGCTCCCCCGGCCTCTGTCAAACTGCCCCGCCTGTTCTGCCAGAGGGGAGCAGCTGTGACCCACTGACAGTTCAGCAAAAAAAATTATATATATATACACGGGGGCGGGGAAAACACCAACCCAACCTGCGTCTCCTGCTTTCTCCCGTTGTATGGATCTCGACCCCCCACACGCCCCCTCCCGTCCTCCGGGCCTCCGAGCAAGACAGCCTGCTGCGGAATGTCTCCGTTCTTGCATTCTCTCCTGTCCCAGCACTGTGTTCTGATTTTTTTTTAAGAAAGATGGCTCTCCCCCACTTCACTCTGCTCCCCCTCTTCAGGAATGTTCGTAACACAACCAGACAGGTTTGCTCTGTTTAGATTCTTGAATTAAACAGTCTTTCATCAAGATGTTTAGTGTATTTCACGCCAGAGACTGTGGGGCGCTTCCCGCGAGCTGCATTTAACAGAGACAAGAACAAAAGCGACTCTGCCGGCGCTTCCCGCGGTTGTGCGGACGGCGATGGGGCGCCACCCTTGAGCCTTGTGGCGGTGGTCTGGTTTTTTCTTCTTTTCCTTTCGTTTTCTTTTCCAAGGCTTTGGGCAGAGAGCAAAAGTCCCGGTGTACTGAGCTTGAGGAGACCTGGTGCGGAAAGGTTCAGTATTCCATTTCAGTTCTTCTGAGTGTGCACGGGGACGGGCGGGGGGGGGGGCGGGGGGGCGGGGAGGGGTGGCCTGGGGGATTCTGCGCCCCACGCAGCTGAATGGAGGTTTGGGGTGGGGAGGGGGCGGTTGTCTTGTGATATGACCCTTCAATAAACACTTCGAAACACTCTGCGTTCTTGTCCCACTGAGCCCTCGGAACTGCGGGTCTTCGGCAGAGGGGTGAGCAGCGCGGCGGCCGTTGCGGCGTGGCGGGCAGGTCTCTTGCCCCCCCCCCGAGCGCAGGGTGGGCGCGGCAGCCCCTCCATTGCGGGCAGGCGTGCGTGAGGCCCCAGCGTGCCACTCCCCCGCCGGAGCCCGTGCCTTGGCCGGAGCGCTCCGCACCCGGCCTTGAGCGGGCATGTCCCCTCGGGGCAGCCGTGCCGGGTCAGCCTTTGCGAGGGGCGGAGGGCCAGGTGGCCCTCGGGGGGGGGGGCGCCCCGCAAGCCGGAGGGCGCGGCTGCCCGTGTCGAGGCGAGGGCCTTCCCTGGGGCCGCCCGTTGTAACGAAGGGCCTCCTCGGTCCTGGAGGACGCGGCGGAGGCCCCATGCTCTTGGATCGGATCCGGTGCGCGTGCTTGGCTGGCTTTGCCTCGGTCACCCTTAGGGAAAGGGGGCTGCGAGGCCGCGTGTCTTCGGAGGAGCCCGTGAGGTGCTGCATGGGGCTGGTGGGGGCCCTGGGGGCATGTTGCCTTTGCCGTGTGCTGTATTTGCGGTTGGCAGTTCTTCTGCTGTGGAACCTAGGGCCAAACTTCCGTTTTCAACAGCTGAAAAAAGGCGTAGAGGAAAGTGACTTTCGATCCAGTTGTGGGAAGCTGCAGGCAAATGCCGGTAGTGAAAATGGGCGCGTTGCAGCCTGGGCTTGTGGTTTGTGCGATGCTCCTGCGGCAGTTCCCATTTGCCCCGGAATTTACCGAAGGAGCTTGGTCCGCGGCAGGAACCACGGGGTTGCGTGCGTGGTACCACCGCACCCCCCTTCCGGATGGCGGCAGCCTGGTCTGTGGGCATGTGCAGAGTGAACGTTCTTCCCCACGCAGCTGCCGCTGGAGTCGGCCTGCCCTGCCTGCCCGTCTGTGTCGGCGATGAGTCGCTGCCCAAAGCTGTCGTGCCGGCAGCGTTTTGTGGGGGCCCGAGAGAGTGGGCGCAGCCCCTCAGGCACCTTTTGTGGTGGGCCGGGCTGCGCCGGGCCCCCGGTAGCTCCTTTCCCCGCTCGCCCGCTCCCTGTCCTCCTCGGCTTCTTGCACGGATGTTAGTTTCGCGGGCTCCCCTCTCGCCTGGCTCCGCCGCAGTGAGGCTGGGCACCTCCGGAACGAGGGCCATTCCCTGAGGGCCGAAGCGGTGGACCCTGTGGGAGAAGCGAGGGCGGGAAGTGCACTCTTCCCGACTCGCAAGACCGGCGGTCGTGTTGTGGGGAGGCGGGGAGGCACCCACGTGTGACGTGTTCCGGGTGGAGGAGGTTGTGCAGTTGGCGTGTCTCGCTTGGCCGTCACTTGTCCCGCCACAGAAAAGCAAGAAATGGCTCGGAGAGGCCCAGCGGGGAGCGGCTGAGTAGCTGGGTGCGCGGACCCCGCTGCTCCCAGCCGTCCTTCCCGTGGGCTGGGACCGTCTCCACTGCGTCCCCGCCAGTGACTCGTGCTCGGGCCGGTGGCGTGAGCGGCATCACCCTCCTCCAGGGGATGGGCGCCACTGACCCCTTGGCCAGCCCCAGCCTGCCGTCAAGCGGTCGCCCGTCCCTTGCCGGTTTCCGCTCTCGAGATCCAACCAACCTGCTGAAATGCAACTGTCAAGCTACTTAAGAGATCGATGACAAATGTTTACTTCAGCCACCCGTAGCCTGGTTCTCTCACTCCACCCATGTCTGCGTTTACATTTCTGATTTTAAGAAAGCAAAAAACAATTCAGATGCCATTTTAAACCATTATCAAACCAGCAGGGAGCACTAGAATTCTATTGGGAGTTTCTTTTTCAGTGCTGAAATCCTGGATGATTGATCTTCTTTCTCCCCCTCCCCCCCGGTCGGACCAGGTCAACTAATGCATATTTCTTTTGTGTTGTTTTCCTCTCTTTTGGTAATTTAGTTTGGTTTTTCTGCACATCTGTATACTAATAAAATGTGGAATAAAGTACACCGCTATTACTATTTCCCTGTTCGAAAGCCAGCTCCTCATTTCAGAGGACTAAAACTGTTGAAGAGGAGTGCTCGTGCCCTTTGAGGCTTCTGCTGACGTGGCTGTTCGGGTCCCCCTCACTCAGTCCCCTGCCTGCGTTGGAGCGGAAACCAGAGAGCGGCCGTCGCCTCGCTGTGCTGCTGTCGGCACTCCCGTCTTACCTGCATACACGGTTCTGCCTCGTGCTCCCAGGTCTCACACGTTGAGCTGCCACGTATGCATTTCTCACACACAACATTCATTGTATCTAGAAAAAGCTAGTGTTGCACGTGCAGTCGTTGTACACAGAAGTGTACGTGATCTACACCGTTGTACGTGCAGGCAAGACATCAACCCATAAGCAGTTCGCAAGCGCAAGACAGCAATTGATGTGGAAGGCGAACTGGAAGCCACAGTTCTGCACGCCTGTTGCACCTCCACTTGGGCAAGAGGCGTGTGTGTCATGAAGCAGATGCTGGTATTTGAGGAGGACTTGCATCAGAACTGCCAACCTCCCCCCCCCCCACACCCCCCCCCAATACACACACAGAGATTGTCTTTATTCAGACAGGAAGCCCATTCTCTTTCCAACAACTGCAAAAGGAAAATGCCTTGAAAAACAAGCAACACACTTCACTTACTTAGGGTCTTTAAAAAAAGTTTTAAACCGATGCCGTCTACACCAATTAGACTGCTGCCTCTGGTCATTCGAGCTAGGCTGCCACATCCCTACAGAGGCCTCAACTACAACCAGTTTAAATTTCCAGTTGCTACTGGGTGGCTACTCGTGAGCCAGAGATGGTCGTCACATGTTTGCTGGCACTGAAACTGTCATCCCAGAGCAGCTGCGGAAGCCTTGTTCGGAGGTCCGGACTCGGAGGTCCATTTTCTGCGGTAGCATTTGAATTTTGCTGTAATCACAAGGCTCGCTGCAGCGCTTGGGTTTCAGCTGCCCCATCCCCCGGGTTGCACACAATTAGCAAAGGGATCCGAGGAGCAGGCTAGGATTGTCAACTACGTTCTTAGAGTAGTTTTCACATCAGGAAAAAGCGGCGCTGTCTTCGCACTCCTAGTAGGATCCCGTCTTGAGAATGACTTGGAGGCTCATGCAAAATTCTGTAGTGCAACACTAGGCATGGGATTGAGAAGCTGTTGGAACAAACTAGCACCGCAGCCGGAGGTAAAGTTTTTGCAAAGAACAGTTTGTCAAGAATCCAAGGAACAAGAGTTAAGCACTTGGCAGAAACTAGCCAGTTTTGTATAAAAGAGTTGGGCATTAGAAAACTTGGAAAAGGTTAAAATGGGATTTAACCTCCCGCAATAAAGATGGTTTTTCCTCAGAGCATCAAGTAATTGATCACAGACACCAAGAAATGCAGAACCTGCCTAACCACAAAAGCAGCCCATGCAGCAAACTTGGGTCGCGCCTTTGAAATAGGACGCATCCACACATCCCTCGCTCTCACCAAGGTTTGGCTTCTCTAAGAACAGGCCCAAAGGTCTCCGAGTTTGTTCCCCCTCTGTGATTCTTGCTGCACTGAATTAAAGGCCACATAAGTCAAACAACTTCAAACTGTGTGAGATTTCCCTCTGACAGGTTCCCCCGGCTTGCTACTATTTCACAGGACAACTTTGGATTTTTTCCCATTTCTGGAGGCTTGTACATTTTTTGGGGCCCACGTTCTGCTGCTCGCCAATGCCACTTTCCTAAGACAAGGGCTTCCGTCCAGCACCCGAGTGCTTAAAGAGATGTTTTGGGCATCTGCACCGGGAAAGCTAACACCCTGTTCGAGGTACACGTGCACTCCTGGGTCTATAAAGCTTTGCCCCGCTGCCTTCAACATTGTAAGTGACCGTTGGCAAGCAGGAGACGCCAGCAGTGGGCCTGGGGTGGCTTTTGCGTACCAGAGAGTTGCTGCTGAGTAGTGCGAGCTGGGAGCCATTGCCCTCCTCGTCCCTTCAGGTTCAGTCCTCAGAGGAAAAACCTACTTGAGCTAAATGACGTGTGTGTGGGGGGGGGGGGGGGGGTGGGGCAGATCTTTGAAAACCGAGACTGCAAACACCATTGATATGCTTAGAACTTTATTCAGTGGAGTTCGGGCTAAAAAGAAATGAAATTTCTAAAACATCCTTTGTGCGGGTGGGTACAGGGCAGGAAGAATTAATTTCCCCATACACACATGCACACAGTCTTCCCACCCCCAAACAAAGAGCGGGGAGGAAGAATGTGAGCTGGAAGGGCAGGAGATAACATTCGTTCTGGTCTAGATAGAGGGATGATGCCCAGGCTAAGAGAAGTTTAAAAAAATCAGCTCTTGAACCCTCTTCTTACTGGCTGAACCCCTGATTGGCAGACAAACAATTCTGGGATATGCTGACTAGGGCTGGGGGGGGGGGGGGGGAACCACATTGCATTTTGTTTGTGCCTCAAAGCGTGATGCGGCAATTTGTGACAAGACTGCCCATGAGAAATCCTCATACCGGCATGAAGGGGGGTAAGAGTAGAAAGGCTCTTAATACTCATGAGAAACTAAACTGCATGTAAGGAATAGAGAGACCAAAAGCTCAGTCCTTCCTGACAGTCTTACAGTTTGCCTGAGCTAAGAACGGCTTTTAAATCAGAAGCTTCCCAGTTCGAAACGGGAAAGAAATGGCACAGTTCATCCTTCGACCATGTATGCAGTCCTGAAACTATACAAAAATTGAGAGAAAGCTCCCCTGGGGTGGAAGGGTGTCAAGTTGAAGCTCCTCACAAGGAAGGAAATAAACAGTCTTCAAAAAGATGCAGAAACCACCTTTAGGGCTCGATTACATTTACAAATACATACATTAAATATATTACATACAACAGCAAATCATAGAGAAGCAGGTAAAGAGTCACACAGATAAGGTGGGCCGGTGTTCAGCCTGTAGAGGCTGCTAAGCTGGGAAGCCCTCACCCCCCCACCCCGTCCCCGCCGGACGGCCTCTCGGCAGGTGTGGGAGGCTGTGAACGAGCATCAGCTGCTGGACCTGCTGTCGTCCTTCCCTGCCTGGGGTCAGTTCGTCCAGTATGGAGACGCTCCGTAGGTGGTTTTGGCGGCCTGAGACTTCTGCTGCATGGCGCTGGGCTGACTGCGCTGGCCAGAGACACCCTGCGGGAGGAGGAGAGACGGGGCTCCGTCAGACGCGGCTGCCATGCGGGCCACTCGCTGCGATGCCCAGGCCACCACCCCGCTCCCTTGATGCGCTTCATCCGTTGAGGCTGCCGCCCAAGGGAGGCTTCCTGGTGGGCGAGAGACGGGTTCTGGGGTCCCTGCACCCTGCCAGTTCCCGGGTTGCCAGCCAGAGCTGCCACGCCTTGCCATCCCCCACAGGAACAACCCCCCCACCCCACTTCTTTCTGCTGGCTCACAAACCCTGCTGGAATTTTGCAGCTTTGGTGACTTACAAACCCAGCACTGCTTTGTGAGAGAGGCTCCGCCTGGGACTGCTGAGTGCGCAGATTCCAAAGAGAAAGGCGACCAGTGTATTCGCATAAACGGTTAAAATGGATTCTGCCTGTCCGTTTAGGAGAAGGGCTTTAGTTCCCTCTTGCTGACCAAATATTTGGCAGGTTATCCCAGACCTCCGAGGCTGCACACCTAGAACCACATGCTGGGACGGAAGCCCCGCTCAACTCGGTGCACAAAGGCGTTACCCCGTGAAGGCACCAGTAAGTAAGTGCCTGAGCATCTTGGTCTCCGGCAGCGCTTGGCCAATCCCATTTTCCACGATTTGATGCAAGAGAACAGGACAAACAAGCAGGATTTATTTTGGGGGGGGGGGGGGGCTCCTGGCACCAGGAAAAAAAGCATTAAGAGGTACCGGCACGCAGGAGGTCCTCTTACAGAAAGCTGGGGATGCTGGTTTACCTAGCTCCGGATCTTCTCCTGGGGGACTTGGCAGGTTTCTGGGAGGGGTCTTTCCCAGCACTACGTCCCAGGGTCTTAGACCCACCTTTTTGATATTTAGTTTCTCTTCACAAAATACGATCAAAATTATTTCAGCTATTTGACCTTTTAATTTCACACATGGTGAAAGCGAAGGGAGTAAAGCATCGAAAGAAAAGGAGCCCATGTGGGAACAGATAAATGGGGGTTGGCGCTTTTCTATGTGGAAGCTGGAGAACCGCAGATTAGGCGTCTGCTGTGGGGCAAAGTCCCCAAAGACCCTTGATTTGGGGCTTCTGCTTAACACCTCGACTGCTCCCTGTGCGGGTCTGCAGACCTCAGATATGCCAAGCGCCACTCTGCATCACCCACACCCTGGGGGGGGTGGTACTGGATTCCCATCGAAAATAAATGCAGTGGTTCCCGATTCCCCCCAAACCTCATTGGCGACAAGCAGGCTGACTATGCAGTGAACAGAGGCAAAAATGGCCGCCCCCCGAGCGGAGTGGAGCGGGCCGGGCCGCCTCTGCTCCCTGGCCCGCGGGAGGCAGCACCGACGGCTTGGGCCCCCGAGCCGGGAAACTCACCTGCCCATCCTGCGGAAGGTGGTGGTGCAGCAGCTGCGAGTGAGGCTGCTGGTGGGCAGGCAGGATGTGAAGGAACGGCGCGGGAGCGTAGCCGGCCGCGGCGGCAGGGGCCAGGGCCCCCGAGGAGCCGAGGGCCGAGGGCAGGCTGAACGACGGCGGCGCGCCTGTGTGGAAGCCCTGCTTGTCGAACGTCTGGGGAAGGAGAGCAAGGACGGGGGCTGCAGCGCCGGCCGGCAGGCGGGCGGGCAGGCCCCCCCCCCGGCCCCACAGCTAAGCCCCGCCTGCCCGCCAGGGGTGCTGCGGCCTGCACCCGACCCACAGCGCCCGCGCCAGGAGCAACGATCGCCCGTACTAAACGCTGGCAACGTGGGACGGCAGGTGCATTGCCAGCGCACGTGATGTGGAACTGCCCGGGGTGGCCCCCTTCCGGACACATCGCCTTGGCCCTCAATACACCTCCCTGCTCAGGGATGGCAGGGCACCTTTCCCCATCTGGGGGGGTCTCCTCAGGCCACCACGAATGGGCAATATGAGCCGCCATGTTGGCTAGGAGACTCGGGGGTAGAAAGGCCAGCCTTCTCTCAGCACTCGACCTTCCTCCACCTACATTAGCAATGTAACAGGAGCTTCGACTATTTCTCTGTGTGTGTGTCACAGGAATACTTCTACATGCACACCATTTTCAGGACCAGTTCCAGATCCTTCCTACATGGCTCTGTTTGCTGGTTTGTTTTTTCCCCTTTTTCTGTACGGGAGTTTGTGGTTCTGCTCTTTCTTTGTATTCCCCGCAGTTGTTTGCCACTGCTGGGTTTTGTGGAATGATTGTAAAACCTGCCTGGGTTTTTCAGCTCATTAATAATGATCAAGAATAGAAGTTGGAGGCAAGGGAGCCGCAACAACTGTGGGGCTGTCACTTCTCGGCAGAGGGTGATGTGCTTAGGGAAAGGCCCGGGATTATTCCCAAACAGGGAACCGCACACGGGGAAGTCAAAGGACTCCCACCGAGGAAACCAAACCGACTCGCTCTGGCATGGAAGTGCAGGCCACCAGGTAGCCCCTCACCTGCGTCTTGTTGTAGACAGAGCCACTGATATCAGGCACACCTGTGTTACTTGAGGTCACAGAAACACCTGGAGGAAACAAGAAGAGAAAGGAGTCAGTTACAAAGAGAGCCAAGGCTGCAGAGGAAAAGCTTCGATCCACCCTTTGCTGGGACCCGCCAGTCCCATAAGCAGATGATTCTTTGGGGCAGTCCGCGCTGGCTCCCTCTAGGAAGAGCCCGCATTCCTTTTATCTGTAATTCTAAATATTATGAGGGGTGCCGGAGAGTGACTTTTAGCTGAAACAGAAGCTCCAGGTTCACAGGCCGGGCATTTTCCACTGCCAGGAGCAAATGGGCCGGCCGCTCAGCCCGCCGTTCTCCTTGTGGGTGCTCCTTGGTCCTCCTCTGGCTAGACCCAGCAGAGCAAGGCTGCTATAATCCCACAATTCCCATTTTTCTTGGCTAAGGAAAACTAAACGCACCACTTCCAATGGAAAGACCCTGAGGGAATTGACAGCGTCTCTCTCTGAGGCAATGCACAGCTGCGGCTGGCCTCCGCTGTCCCCATCTCTGCCGCAACAGCAGCAGAGCGATCACTGGGCGAGCGTGTTACTTTTGTTGGCCCGGACCCCAAGAGGAGCCTGAGCAACTCTGTGGGCAGAGCACTTCCAGGCCCTGCGCCCACTGCGGCCCCAGGCAGGCGCTGGATGGTTGGGTGCATCCAATTGTTCTATGCTACGGCTGGGCCAGGCTTCCTCCGGGAAAATCATCGCTCCCGTCTCGCTCAGTGCCCTTGCTCAGGTCTTCTTTATCCCGGAGCAGTGCAGGTTCTCCCTCGATCGGACTGCTGCTTTAAAATCCTTTTGTGGGGCGAAGGAGCATTCGACTTATTTTCAAGGACTCTTACATTTGGGAGCCGCTCCCAAGTCCTGGGAGCTAATGGGGGTCACACACACACACACGCGCGCGCATGCACACACAGCAAGACCCGTCCAGCACGCCGCGCTACCTTTCCCTGGCCCGCTGCCAGACGCCTTGCTCTGCGCTTGAGAGGCCCCCGCGAAGCCTCCCTTGCCGTAGTCTCCCGCGGCCGCTCCTTGCGTGAGGTCGTCGTAGCCTGGCAGGTAGGACAAGGTGGTCACCACTTGGAGAAGCGCGCCGCAGGCGCTTGCACAGCACGGCGTGCCTCCCCAGCAGGCCTGGGCCGGGGGGGGTGCCTGTCGCCAGCCGGTTCCCGGGCAGCGGCTGCTGCAGTCAGAGGCCACGCAGAGCTGGGGCAGGCCTGCAAGAAGCGCCCATCCCGGCACTCAGGCCCCTGCTCCCGCTCGCGCAGCCGACAGGGAACGGCCAGCCGGCCAGAAGCTCCCGCCCCACCCGTTCTTCTCTTTGTAGAGGTTGCCTGGTGGTTCCGAGCATCCCATAAATTGGGGATCAAAGTCTTATCTTGTTAATACCATGTTCCTAATGGACAGCAGGATGGTTTTTCTGAAAAGCTGCAAAATCTAAAGCTTTGTTGTTATATTATCCAAGGATGAAAGAACATTTGAAGCTTCTACATATCAATTCAATGAGCAAAAAAGAAAAAAAGAAAAAAAAACCATCAAAAAGTTTGACATATAGCTGTCTGACAAAAAAAGTTATTTAGGTTTCATGCCCATGTGGAATAAAAATATTATTTAGGGCGTTTTACACGACTTATGCTGCAACCTGTTGGCTGCTGAGAAAAATGAAGGCCCTGCTGGGATCTGCCGACCTTGATTCCCGCTTGAGCAGGCAGGACATTCTTGGGGGTGCAGCAGGGCCAGGACTGCATGTGGCTCATGGAATCACAGACACAGGCTACAAACAAATTTATATACAAGAAGGGATAAAGATGCCCAGATTTCCAAATGTCACCGGCTCTTCCTATCAAGAAACCCACAAAATTGCACACCTGTCAACTGAACCCCCCTTTCAAAGGGTACTTGAACTTTCTTCTGTTACATGATCAGAATTGGAAGACTTAAATAGGAAAAATGAGCAATGCAAGCCTTTCGTTCTAGCAAGATCTTTCTTTATCTTACACAATATATCACATTTTGACTCTAGCCTTTGGAAGCATACACATTATCATAAAAGTGAATCCAAATCTTTCCCCCTTTCTAACACAATGTTTGGGGCAGCCTTTGTCCGAACCGTATCAACCGGCTCGAGAGTGTTGACTGGCAGTCAAGCACGGGACGGACCGAAAAGGCCAAGGCCGCCTGCGCGGATCCGCACATCTGGCTGAGAGTGCGGCTCGCTGCCCAGGGAGCAGAGGACTTCTGCCTGGCACCATCTGCCGTGGGGCCCTGGAGGCCCACCACACGACGGCTGAACCAGCCTCCGCTCACCTCCTTGGGTACAGCAAGGGCTCCAATCCTCCCGACGCTCCGTGCTGAGACAGGCCGCCTCGTGTCCTGTCCCAGGACGGACGGTGGCACCCAGAAGCCAGTCTGCAAGGAGCCCACCCTGGCCTGGCAGGACGTCTTGCAGGGTGGGCTCCGTACAGATGCCCGGGGAGGGTGCCCGGCCCTTCTGCGCCTCCTCCTGGCTGCTTCCCCCCAGCTGAGCCCCCAAAAGGGCGATGCTCCCTCCCCTTTCCACACAAGCGGCGCTTTTAACCAGACCCCTCCTCCATCACCCCATTTAATCCAATTAGGAGCATTCGGGGGTGGGGGGGTCCATCCAATATCAGGCAAGGCAGCAGTGTGACCTCTCCCTCTGAAACGGAAATGCACCCCACAAATCTCCAGGGGACAGACCCAACACGGCCTCCCCACGGCCCCAAAATCTTCCTGGCCAGTGCCAGTGCCAGGGCCCCCAAAAAGTCCTGCTCCCAGGGACAGGCGGCCGGGGGAGCTGGTGCACCCCCCCATGAGAACTCCTCCAGGGATGGGGAAGCGGGCGCATCGCAGCCGCCTGTGGCTTCCTCACTCGGAGAGGAAGGCTTCTGCAGAGCAAAACAGGAACCACCGGGAAAGTGACCCTTCCACCATTGTGGCAATTACCTCAATTTGGCAGGGGTCTTCCACCCCCAAACCAAAGCCAAGCTCAACAGGAGCCGGGCAACCTAAATGCGAGGAGCCCCCCCCCTCCTGCCAGCCACAGGGAGGTCTGCAGTAGCCTCCAAGGCCCGCCTCCTCGAGGCAAATCGAGCGAGCCACGCACCAGAACTGGGATGCGCTTCTCCGGGACGGAGGGGCCGGGCTCTTGAGAACAGGAAGCGCACCCAAGCAGCTGCCCTGCCGTGCCACACACGCGTTGGCTGCCAGCTCTGCACCCGCGCCCGGCGGTGGTGGCCAGCGTCCCCACAGTTACCTGCTCCGTAGCTGTGCTGGCCGTAGCCGCTGGGCTGCTGGAAGGGCGTCGAGGCGGCGTTCAGGCCGACGCCGTGCTGCTTGGCCGATGCCGGAGGGACCTGGGGGAAGGCAAAGCGGGCGCTGAAGCGGGCGCACAAGGCACGCAGCCGGAGCAGGAGGGGCGGGCGGCGCTTCTCCTCCCGAGTGCTGTGCCAGGCAGCTGGGAAGCGACCAGTGGGGAAGCCCGCGCCAGGTGAAGGAAAGCGCCCTTGCGAGCGAGACGGGGATGCGGCCCACACACGGTGGCCGTGGAGGCTCTGCGGGGCAGTGCGCTTCCTCCCGTCCCCGACCATGGAAAAGGGCCTCTGCCGGAGGGCAGCGCTGCCCCCGCGCCCAGGCACGTGCCCCCTCGGTCCCATCCCGGCCAGGACCACTGCCGCTTCCGGGGTGCCATGTGTTCTCTCCGGAGGGAGCCTCATGTGGATGGGCCGTGAGTCTGCCCAGCCCTGCCCTGCCCTGTGCTCGGGGGGCTTAGAAGTGCAAGAGAAAGAGCCGCCATGCAGAGGACCACCCAGGCCAGCAGTGGCTCAGCGTGGCCAGCAGCTGCCCACGGGGGACCCACGCGCAAGCGGGACCCCCGTGCGCCTGGCGCCCACAGACATCTTGCCTCTGGTTCCGCTGGTAGACCGTGCCCCCACCCCTCAGGGCTAGTAGCCACAGCTTGCCGCCGCCTCCTCCTCAGATCTAACTGATCCCCTTCTAAAGCCACCCAGATTGGCGGCCGTCACTCATAGAAACAGGGTGAGTCAGGAGGGATCTCCCGGGCCATCTAGTCTGACCCCCGGCTCCAGCCGGCTCCGCTCACGACATGCCCGCCATGTGCATGCCCAGCCCATCTTTGGGGGCCCTCCATCTGGTGGCGGCAAACGGCACAGCTTAGCTGGAGCGCTGTGAAGAGGTGCTTCCTTTGATCTGCCCTCTGCTCCCCACCCGTCGGCCACGGCGCCGGCTCCACTGGCATTTCGTGAGCCGAGGGGGAGAGCGGGGCGTTCCCGTGCTTGCACCGTGCGCATCTTGCACACGGGCCCAGTGCACCTTTTCCGCAGGCTTCCTTGCTGGAGAGCCGCTCAGGCCCCCGAATGCTCCGGCGCCCCGTGCCCCACCTCCCCCAACCCTTCCCGTGCCTCTGTGCCCAGATCCGGCCCCAGTATCCCCAGTGCGGCCACACCACGTGAGAGACATTCCTCGTGAGCTGGGTGCTCGAGCACCGTCAACGTGGCCATGGCACGGGATTGCTCGCCTCCCCCGCAGGACCGGAGACGCGAACCCGGAGCCCATCAAGGACCCGGATGGATGGATGGAGGCAGGCCGGCCTCCCGCATGGCCTCCCACCGTCCCGCCCTCTCCACCTCGGCTGCTGGAGCCGAGGCCCCCCTCCCGGGCCCTGCCCGTCCCACACTTCCTACGGGGCGTCCAGGGACGGCAGCTGCGTGGCCTGCCGGGTGTCCACAGCGCATCCACAGGGGGACTTCACTTGAGGGCAGCCGGTTCCCGACAGCGAAGGGGGCACGAGTCCCTCTTCGGCAGGCTTTGCCTGGTCAAGTGCAGTGCTCGGGCAAACATCATTCTGACGAAAAAAATGCTACCTAAACAAACCTGGGTTGAGGCGCAGGTGGGTTCGGGGAAAGCTACGCAATGCCAAGTTCACACACCAGTCACTAGGACCTGGACACTGGAGTCCTTCGCAAAGTGTCCGGCAAGCCCATCTTAAGAGTGATACCAAGCTGATTAACTTAGCTGGCCAATTAAGACCTCCTTGTGAACATGTGCATTCCAGACGTCAGCTTTCAGGAAGGCTGTTCTGAGCACGCCTGGCCCTTCCAGACCGAGCGAGGCCTCTTGTGGGGCTGGCTTGCTCCTGGGGCCTGCCCAGCTGCACCCATACAAGCCTGCGGCAGCGAGCGGCTCCCTCGTCTCAGGCGCGCACCTTGGGCTCCCTGCCGCTGCTTCTGCCAGAGACGGCTTCAGGGTGAAGAAAAGGCCCCAAGGCACCGCAGCATCCTGCAAAAGACGGCCAGGGAGCACACCCTGCTCCGGGCTTCCTGCACCGTGCAGGGTTCACCTATCTCCCGTGTGGACTAGGAAGGGCAGACACAGCCACACAAATACTGATGCGTGTTTCTGGCATCTCGGAGTCGGTGGCACTAAGTGCGCCGAGCCTCTGAAACGAACAGTCCTTGCAGCCGCTCCCCCGATCCCACAGTGCTTCTCTTCCTGCATCTATGCAACACAGTTCCTTCCACGCACTTCCCCACTTCAACTCTCTTCCACGTGCCCTACTCAGGCACGCTCATCCAGATGCCGATGCTCCCCTCCCCGAAGACAACGGCCGCTTAGCGCTCCCCGTCTCTCCTCCTCCCTAATCGGGATGCTGCTTTCTGGGGGGACAAATCCCTCACAGGCTGCCAAACGCCCCCATGCCCATGGTTGTCATGGAGGTTTTGCAAAAAGACGTGGGGAGAGAGAAAAGGGGGGTGGGAGAGGCAGAAGAACGGGGAGAGGGAACACAGGCATCCCGTGAAAAGAAAGGAAGCAAGTGGGTATCACGCCTGAATATCTGCAAGCACCGGTTTGAACCTGCTGGTGACTGCTGGCCCCAGGGATCAGCGCCCGGCTTCCTGGCTGGGAGACACATTCTCAGGTTCCCACTGCCACACCAGATGGCAGCACACTGCCACAAACCATCGCAGTGCATCCGATTGCGCCGCCGATGGATTTAAAATATGCCTCGGCCACTTGTAGGGGCAGCCGCCGTGCATCAACAACATACGGCAGGGAAACCCACACAACAAAAACCAGCAGGAGCGAGGAGGAGGAACCCACGCGAGGCTAAGACAAAGCCTGCGGACGTGACATATAATCAGGGGAAGGCCAGAGCGACGCTGCGAGCTCTCGGGACTTTTCCCCAAGCCTGCCGCAGCGGGATCTCGCTCGTGGCAGGGCTGCCCTGCCCTCGAACCAGCAGTGAACTATCCAGACGAGGCCAGGGTGTTGGGAAGAGAAGGGCCTGCTCAGCCGACAGCTGCAGGGGTGCAGCCCAGCTGGCACAGCAAAGCCCAGTTTCCCCAGTGCCCATCTGACCAGTGGGTGTGGAGGGGTGCAGAGAAAAGGACACCTTCCGGGCTCCAAATGCAGCGCAACCCACCCACAGAGGCAACCCCAGGAAAACGCCGCACACAGCCCCCGTGCTGCCTCCCAAATCAACCGTGAGGAACGGTGCCCCCCACCCCCCGTAAGACCGTGGGTCCGAGGAAGAGCGTTCGGAAGGACTCCCGCCCGGCGCGCAGGAGCAAGACCCCGGCGGTCCCCGAGACTTACAAACATGGTGGGCCCGTACTGGAATGCGCTGGGGACTCCCGGCACGCCGGCATAATAGGGCAGCCCCGTGTAGCTGTACCCGGGCGGCAGCGTGGCGTTGAGGAAGGCCTGCTGGGCCGTGTGGTGCGCCTGCGTCTGGCTCTGCTGGGCCTGAGCCAGGGTGGTGGCGGGAGCAGGTGAGGCCGCGTCCCCACGGCCGAATTTCGTTACTTCACCTGGGCGGGGGGAGGGGGGAGAGCAGAGCAGAACATCAGTCGGGAACGGTGGGCGCGCCGCACGCAGCGCCTGGGCAGACCCCGCGGCTCTGGAAACCCCCAGCCCAGTGGAGCCGGAGGGACCCCGGCCCTGCTCCACCGGCACTTTCGTTCTCCCCCTCCCCCTTGGGGCACAGCACCCTCCATCGCCCACAGGCACCCCCCAAGCGATGGCTGGTCCAACCAAGCCCCTCCAGATCTGAGCGACAGCCACTCTGTGTGTGTGTGTGTGTGTGTGTGTGTGTGTGTGTGTGTGTGTGTCCCCCCCCCCCCCCCCATGCCAGCACCCTTGCCATCACAAGGCGCCCATGGGTCCCATCTGGACCCACGTCCAAGCAGGACCACTGCTGAAGAAGACCCTGCGATCCTCCCTCTGGACCACAGATAACCGGGGGTGTTCTCGAAAGACCGAGGCAGGTGGACTGCAGTGCGAGGAACGCCCCCACCCGTGGCAACAAGGGAGTGCAGCAGGCCGTGGCTCGTGTGGAACCACGCCTGCCACGTGGACAGGCTGGACGTGTACGTGGTGTGCCTGTCCTGAGCAGAGCCGGCTGGAGCCGGGGTCAGACTGGATGGCCGGGAGCCCCTCCTGGCTCGCGCAGTGTCTGTGCTTCTATGTCATGTGCGTCATACAGTCCTTCACTGGGAGTGAAGGCCTCTTCTCGGACTATCCCCGGCTCGGGGCTTGTCGCAATTTGGGGTTCAACGCCCAAAGAATGTGGTCAGCATCTCCGGGTCCCAGAGGAAGCTCAGCAAACATTGCTTCAGCCTGGTTTAGGAAGAGATGGAGTTCACACACACACTCCTCTCTTCTCCAGGTGGGGGACTTCCTCTCACTGCAGGACACGGCCACGATTCCAGACCTCCCACGTGGTTGTGGACAGACAGGGATTTCTAGAGTAGCTCTTCCTGAGGCAGAAACGGCCACCCGGTGTCTAAGCAGAGAGCAAGGGCCGTCTCAGTGCCGCTAGCGGGGCTCTGGCTGTCTCTGCGAGGCCTCTGGCCTCAGCCTCTGCTGAACTGATGACAGCCAACCATTCTTCACTTAACCGTTTGTTAAATGGGCCCACTAGGCCTGCTTATCGGGTCTAAAGGATCTGTGGAGCTCCGGAGAAATGTGCATGCCCTCGTGGGCCAGACTCCTCCTTGCTGCTCCAGGACGAGACCCGCTGGGCAATGTGGTACATCAGAGATCTTACTCACCTGAGTAAGGATTGTTAGCAAGGCTTCCTTCTCTGCCTGTCAAGGTTGCAGGAGCAGGGAATGTAATTCCATAGTAATCCTGAAGAAAGGCAAACATCGAAACTATTCAGACAGGTTCCACCATGAAGACAGCTAGCGTCTCTCAGCAAAGCATTCACATACTCAGCAAGAGAAAGTAGTAAAAAATGTACAAGGAAAAGGAAACATTTTATCCTGAGCTGAACATGGCTTCCATTTAACTCACATTATGCTAAAAGCTGGTTACTGCATCACCCAGGCAAAGCAACTTTCCTGCCAAGCTCGAATATCTCTCCGAACTAATGTAGCATAGTAAATAATGTAATGTATGGTACATAATATGTGCATAATGAAGTCCATAATGTAAACATAGGACATTTGCTGGAAACCCATACAGAAAATGTAAATTAAAGTGGAGCTTACGAGCAACTGGACTATGCCACTTTGATCGAATTCTAGTTTTCCTATGGAACTTCCATTAGTTCCAGCAGTACTATTTCTACGGCCGAGTGTAAAAGAAAATGCAAGCATGTCTGACAGTGCCTTGGTCTGAAGGGGGTGGAAAAACTGGATCCTGAGAAGCCTGCCAAGCCAAAATGGCGCCATACTTCCACTCCGGGGGGCCCTTTACTGGAGCTTCAATGGTATAAGTACCACTCACTAGATTAAATAATCAAGTATAAATATAATAAAGTATAATAAATAATCCTGAAGCTGAGGTGAACAAGTGAAGAAGGAAAGCAGACAAGCTGCTTCAAGCACAGCATTGCGGTTCTAGTTTCGAAAGCTCAAAATGGTTTCGGTTTTGCACCATGGACTGCACAAACTTGGATTTGGTGGTTTCCTGCTCGTTTTCAGTTTAGCTTTCCTTCCTACCTCACTAGGATGATATCTGAAAGGAGTGCTAGAGGAAGAAAAACAGGAATTTCCGTAGAAGTCTGAATGTCCTCATCTCTCTGGTTGTTGCAGCACAGTATTCAAAAAAGCAACACTCGGTCCGCACCCTCCCTTGCCATTCTTGGCTCCTGGCCTGGGTTGCTTTCACTATCTCATCTTTCTTGTTTCCAAACCCAAGGAATCGGGGCTGCAGGCAGGCAGGCAGGGGAAATGTTTTCGCGGCCCGCTTGTGAGAGGGAAAATCCAAGCGGAGGGAGGTTACTTCCCTATGTTACACGTTGGTTCTATCAAAGCCAGTAAGGAGGACAAAAAACATCGTTTCACAGGCTGGAAGTTAGCAAAAAGAGCTGGCAGTTATGCCATTTTTGTATGAGTAACCAGATGACTTCACCATTTAAATAAAATAAACGGAGCATTTATTTCAGATTCATTAAGGTTCCCATTTGGACAATTTCCGGCTAGCTGGAGGCTCTTTTCTATTTTTTTAGCTCAGGCCCAGGGTTTTACCACTACTTCCAAAGATAAGAAAAACACTTTACAAATGGAAACAATATTTTTGCAAATGAGCATTCAGAAGCTGCATCATACAGATTTGATCCCTGTGAGCTAGTAATGAAATACCGCATCCAAAGTTTTTTTGTTCTGTTTTTCCTCAGAAGCAAGGAAAAAATAAGCCCATCAGCTCGAGCAGATTCTGATATGCTGGGGAGCTGCGGTGGGCATCTTTGCGTACCTACAGATGCCAGCCAGCACTGGCTGCTCCTACTTAATTCTGCTCCTGGCTTTAAGTCACCAAAGACAGTCGCTGAACTCACTTTAGGGTCACTCCAGGGCTTGGGCCATATGCCCCAACCTTCCAGACGAAGCAGCTCTTAGATGAATATAATAAGCTGGCACTAACCAAGGGCTAGGAATCTATGTGCTTCCACTGGAGACCTGCGGGGCCCCGGGAGCTACATCCTGCCCGTGCGGCAGGTAAGTTCGTTGGCCTGAGTGGCGTTTGGGATGAAGTCTGAGGAGCTGCAGCCCCCAGCCGGCTTCCGGTTGTGGCAGGATGCAGTCACCGGCAGGGAAGCTGGCATGGAGGGGCCCTGGGGAGAAGCCCCTTATTTTACAGGTGCAGACAAACCATCACCTCACCCCTTCCCCCTAAAGCTGCCGGACCAGCAACAGTCAAGTGTGAAACTCTTCGGCCACATCCTCCCGGTCCCACCTCCCTCGCCCCACCCCATCCATCCACCCCACAGTTCCTTCACCGACTTCCCCAACCTGGCAGGTAAGACTACAGTCTCCACCATCCCCAGCCAGCATGGTCCTCTCCTGGCACGACAGGAGTTGTAGCGCAACACAGCTAGAGCCAGAGCGTCATAAAATGCTAAAGCAGGCGTTTTATAGGGCCGAGAGGATCGTTCCTTGCTGCAGTCCATATTACCCCCTCTGAACAGGATTCCAGCTCCTTCCTCCCTGTGCATCCCTTGGACTTGCTGGGTACTGGGATGCCAGCTTCACGCAAGGAGCAAACCAGCCCTAGCAACTTAGCGTGTTTTGAATTCTGCAGCAGGCACATGAACCGTTTTGGCAGGCGTTAGAGGCAATCCCTCATTTGTGGACCCATGATACATTTTTGGTTCCATTTATGGTGACTTTGGAAAAGGCCTTTTAAAACCATTTGCTTCAAGTTACTCTTAGTGGCGCACCTGAACTATTATTTTTATCCTTATAAGATTGCTGGGAGAAATATCAACAACCTCAGATATGCAGATGATACCACTCTAATGGCAGAAAGTGAAGGGGAACTAAAGAGCCTCTTGATGTGGGTAAAGGAGGAGAGTGCAAAAGTTGGCTTGAAGCTCAACATTAAGAAAACTAAGATCATGGCATCCGGTCCTCTCACTTCCTGGCAAATAGATGGGGAAGAAATGGAGGTAGTGACAGATTTTATTTTCCTGGGCTCCAAGATCACCGCAGAAGGGGACTGCAGCCAAGATATTAAAAGACTCTTGCTCCTGGGGAGAAAAGCTATGGCAAATCTAGACAGCATACTAAAAAGCAGAGACATCACACTGCCGACAAAATGCGTATAGTCAAGGCTATGGTTTTCCCAGGTGCAATGTATGGCTGTGAAAGCTGGACCATAAGGAAGGCTGAGCGCCGAAGGATTGAGGCCTCTGAATTGAGGTGCTGGAGGAGACTCCTGCGAGTCCCTTGGACCGCAAGGCGATCAAACCGGTCAGTCCTAGAGGAGATCAACCCTGCCTGGTCTTTAGAAGGCCGGATCCTGAAGATGAAACTCAAATACTTGGCCACCTAATGAGAAGGAAGGACTCCCTGGAGAAGAGCCTGATGCTGGGAACAATTGACGGCAAAAGAAGGGGAGGGCAGGGGATGAGGTGGCTGGATGGAGTCACTGGGGCAGTGGGTGTGAGCTTGAGTGGACTCCGGGAGATGGCGGAGGACAGGAAGGCCTGGAGGAATGTTGTCCATGGGGTCGCAATGGGTCGGGCACGACTTCGCAACTAACAGCCACAAACTGTTGACACTCCTGTCGACGTTTAAATGGTTCCCCTAAGATCTAGTAGAGGACTTGGAGGCAAGTGGCCATGCGGAAAGGGAAAATGAAACCAGGGAAATTCTGCCGAGATAAATGATGAATGGAAACGTGCTATTCAAAGTAATATAAAGGGAGAAGGGGGACCAGCACAGCTCCAACGAGCTTGAGCTGCACTGCGCGCCACCAGCGGCCACCAGGGCATGACCGCCAGAGCACCGAAAATGTCCGTGCACGCAGCGCTGACCTGCCTGGTGCTACTGGCATCGCAGGCTGCAGCGCTGGACTGCAACTTTCTGCAACTCCATCAACAAAGATTCAACCTGCAGAGTCTGGAGTTGCTCAAGGAGATGAGAACGAAACCCTCTCCAGAGTGCCTGGAGAGTCCGCCAGCGTTCGCTTTTCCTGCGAAGATCCTGGGAATACATGAGCCGTGGCTCGCCACGAAAGTGGTCCACCAAACACTTAGTGGATTCCTCGACATCCTGAGCGACGATCTTCTGCCGACCGGCTGGGCAGCAGCGCCGAGAGAGAGGTCTGCACCCACTCCACCTGAGGCCGGCTTCCTCCGCCACGGGGTGGGGGGCAGTGGGCGATCACTCATCGGGGCAGGGGAAGACTTTTGGCTATCCCTCCCTTCACTCTGCCCTTCTCTGCCCGCAGGTTCCTCAAGATGCTCCACGCTCAAGCCGAATCTGTTCAGGAGTGCCTCGGAGAAGGAGGCGCAGCACCGAGAAGTATGGAAAAATGGAAGCACCTGCTGCGACTGAAGAAGTATTTTCAGAGGATCAGGACTTTCCTCCAAACGAAGGGGCACATGAAGTGCACCTCGGAGAACATGCGGCTGGAATTCCAGGCGGCTTTCGTCTACCTTGATATACTGACGAAGAGAATAAAGACTTGGAAGCATCTGAGCTGAGCAGGGTGGAAAAGCAGCAAGACGTACGAGCCTCTTCAAACAGGGGCATTCCTGTGGCCAACCTGCAATGCAGGACGTCCGACAGTGATGTGTTTCGCGTGCGAGTGTGTTTGTTTACAATATTTTTGTGTGTGTTTATTTATTTACAATAGTTTTGTGCGTATTTATTTATTTATTTACAATATTTTTGCCCCATCCTTAACAAATGTCTCAGGATGGCATGCAACCAAATTAACATAATGAATTTGTGCCTGGCGCCGTCGTTATTTGTTTTTCAGCGCCAGGTGAAGACCTTTTTATTTAAACGTCATTTTAATTGTTAACAATATTTACTTATTTATCTGGCCAGGGCGACTTCTTTTCTAACTTTTCTTTTATAACTTCTTTTATATCTTTTATATTTTTTATTTATTTTATATTGTTAATTTTAATTGTTATTTTTGTATTTTATTGTATTTTATTGTGTTGTAAGCCTCCCCGAGGCTTCGGCAAGGGGCGGCATAGAAATGTTCTAATAAATAAATACATAAATAATATTAAATTATTAAATTTGTTTAAAAAGTTTTACTCCTTTCAAACTTTGTAGAGAATTATTATTATTACTACTACCACCACTATTATTACTATTACTATTACTATTACTATTATTATTATTATTATTATTATTATTGACAGCCACTGTGGCGCAGTGGTTAAAAGCATGGGACTGGGACTCAGACGATCTGGGTTCAAGACCCCGCTTGGCCAAGGAGCCAACTGGGTGACTCTGGGCCAGTCACAGGCTCTCAGTCCAACCTACCTCACAGGGTTGTTGTGGTGGGGATAGGATGGAGGAGGAGAATGATGCAAGCTGCCCTGAGCCCTTTGTAGGAAAAAGGCAGGATAGAAATCCAAAAATAAATAAATCGAAAAATAGATAAAATATCATCATCATCATCATTTCTACGCCATCCCTTCACAGACGACTTGGGATGGGTTACAACAGATTAATAAAACAGAAAAACTATAAATGCAAGTAGCAGCTGCACAGCATCCGATTATGAGACCTTTAAAAAAAAAAACCAACCGAATCTGCAAGAAGTACCCCATGAACCAGACAATCCTACAAAATACAAACCACCATGTCTCAGAACCAGGCAGGGTTAGAAAACGACATTACAGCGGTGCCTTGGCTCACGAACTCAATCCGTTCCAGGACTCTGGTCGCGACCCAAACTGGTCGTGAGCCAAGTCAGATCTCCCCATAAGGGTCAGTGCAAAGAAGGTTCATCCGTTCTGTAACTATATATTTTTTTACTCACAAAAATTTGAAGCGGGTGCACTCTGGGGGGGAGGCGGGCACGATCTTGGGCGCGCTCGTGGGGCAGGGGGGCATGCTCGCACTCATCACCCGATGCGGAGTTCGCAACCCGAGGCAAGATTTTTTACTCCACCCTTCCTGGTGGAGAAGCCGTTATCTCCGGGTTGCAGGTTGCCCGGAAAAGCTTTCAACGCACCCCCATCCCTCGACCCTGGCACGACCAGTGCGCGACCGCCCCCGTCAGCAGCAGCCAGGCAGGGGTTCAGGGCCTGCGCAGGTCAAGGGACCGTCAGCCTCCTCCCCCCGCAGCAGCCATACCAACCTGGCGCACATCCCTGCGCTCCGGGCTGCTTCGGGGTCCCTGCAGGCAGCCCCTGCTGCAGCCGCCCTGCGCTCCGGGAGGGGGGGGGGCACGTGACAGGGCTTGCGGCAGCATCTGTGACACACAGGCCGCGCATCCCTGGCAGGGAGAGCAGAGGAGGCCTGCCACAAAACACCAGCCGTGCCCCCGGCCCAACCCCGGGAACGATGGGCTCTCAAGCCAGGCCTCTCCCAAGGACTTTAGCAGACTGGGAGGCACAAGGCGGGGAGACAGGAATTCCCGGAGGCGCATACGATCCGGGCCATTCACGTTTTTCACCGGCACCTGTGACTAGGTGTCGAAGTTCATGGGAAACCGCAGCAACGCCACAAAGAGGGGCGGGAGAGGAGCCCTTGGATCAACTGGGGTTTCCAAACCATCCCAAGGGCCAAAGCTACTACAGGGGTCCAAATAGCAGATTATTAATGGTTGAGGAACAATGGCAAAGCTCTCCGATAAAGGGCCACCAGCCCACAGTGGTAATTATGCACCCTGGGCTGTCCCCAGGGGCACCCAAGAGCCCGAGAGAGTCCCCGGTGGATCCCCGTTCTCCTGGGAGGGACCGGAGGGAGACCCTCTCTCAACAGCACCTCCGACTCCATTTTCCCAGACCCGTTCATCAAAGACATCTGTCCCACCTGAATTCACCACACTTGTCTTCAGCCCACCCAAATCAGCTTGCCTAGGTTTCCTTTCAGAAGGGAACTTACTGCTAGTCTTGGAGCTGGCAAAAATAAAAAATAAGGCCTGGGGGCCACGATGCTGGAAGCACACAACGGACTTGGAATGAGCTGCAGCGCGGTGGCACGAGGACACACGCAGGGAAACACGGGGTGTTGTCGAACGCCATGTCGCACCCACATCCCACATGCTTGAAAGTCTTACATTCAGGCTGTGGGACGGGGGTGGGGGGGAGCGAAGGTGTCTTTCCTGCCCAAAAGTGAAGCAGCTCTGCCTCCTGCAGCCATCCACGCTTTTATAATTTGCAGGGCTGCAACATTAGGCAAACAGAGCAGCTAACCGGCAGGGACCGGTCAAAATCCAGGCTCCAGTGGATCAGTCAAATGAACACAAGGTGTTTTATCCTAGAAATGGCAAACTCAGAAGACGCGGGAGGAGTGGAGGAGCTGGTTTAAAAAGAGATGCAAGGAAAGCCTTTTCTTTCCATTTTTATTTTGGGTTTAATCTCTGGAAAATGAACAAGCTCAAACCCTTAAAAGCCAGGAGTGTGAGAAGCAGAACTTTAGAATTACCTCGGAAGTAGGACGGCGGCCCCAGTGCCAAGCTTCTCCTGCGGTCATGGACCTCGGGAGCCTAGCAAGACACGCGGCAAGCAAAGCCTCTGCCATCATCGCCACCCTCTCCAGAGGGAGAGGCGGGAGAAGGCTGCCTCTAGCAGGCCAAAGACCCCCTCCCGCCATCTGGAGCGGGCATGCCTCCCAAGCCACAGCAAGTCCCACATCTGACAGCCACCTGGTGCCATGTTGATGTTCAAGAAGGTGTCGCCCTGGCTTCCAGGAGAGATCAGCTGAGCGAGGGGGCACTGCATCGGTCGCCTCTGGCTGGGTTTTCTGTAGGGCTGTAGGGCCAGGCTGGAGATGGGGGTTTGACTGCCCCAATATGCTGGCTGCGACGCCAGCCGTCACGGACTTGGTCTAGAGGTCTGGATGAGGATGCCTTGCAAGGGCAGCACAGGAATGAATTCCCCACTTCCCGGGCGACTGCGGGTGTTTCCAGCAGGCTCACAGCTAACAGCACTGCGCCTTGCCTGTACCAGATCACCCTGGGTGCCTGCCAGCTTGATCTGGGTAACAAAAGCGCTGCTTCTTTCAGATGCGGAGCCTGTTACTCTGTCCGGATGAAGGCTGCAAAGAGACCGCACCAGAGCAACGGCCTCTTCTGAGAGACTTGGAGATCCTAACAGATTCCAGTATGCTTCGGGAAACTGAGCTTTTGCTGGTCTGGTTGCAGCTGGAACAGGTAAGGGGCCCGTGCCTTCACCTGTCTCTCTGTAGCACCTCGTTCACTCCCTCCCTTCCCAATGCAGTGATGTTTCCATCATGATTTGAGGCATGCCTGGCATTAATGCTGCATGGAATCTGGCCAGGGTACCGCTGGCAGAATATCCAGGAGGAACCCAACCGCACCTAGTCTAAGCTCATTTGAAGGTGCATCCCCTCAGTAACACAGGGGCATCCGAAAGGTGGAGGACAGAGGTGTTAAAAGCTTGACAGATGCTAGGAAAACAGCAAAGATGGACTGACGGTTGAGAGGAGGGCAGAAGCCCAGGATTATGGTTCAACAAGGACCTTTTGTTTCTCAGCCAGCAAGGCCCAATTACAAAACTTTTGATGGGGAACAGGACCTATCGGAACACATGTATGTGCAGACCATGCAGCTGGAGTCACGCAGTATGAGAACGGCCCACCCCACGACCAGTGAAAGCCTCAACTTCATTCTCCAGTTTCCAAGGATTTAGTGAAAACTATCAGCACGCTGAGGACTGGAAACTTGCTCTTATTTTTAAAATGAAACCTTCATCCCAAAGTTCTGTGGAAATAGGATGACACCTTATGTGCAACCTTTAAAGTTATACCCATGTACATTTATAGATTCCAGCTCAGTTAGTGTCATTTAAGAAAAACAACAACAGAAAAACAACTCACCACAGGCAGCCTGGACTGGAGCATTTGAAGATCATCATAACCGTAAATCTGCTTGAAGAGAGCAGAGGAGGAAACAAAACACAGTTTTGTTAGAAGTTAAGATAGTCCTCTCAGAATTGTCCTAGCTAGGTGATCTCCTGGGCTGCATTCGAAGCTATACGTGTTTAAATCCCCACTATTTGTTAAACAAGTTTCTTACTAAACAACAGATATGTAAAAACAGCTACCCTGTCAGACAGAGCTAGGCTTGTCCACATATTACACTGAGGCACTTTTTTGACCACACAATTTTATTGGGGTGCATCCAAAAACAGTATCATAAATTATAGATGCTTCCCATTTATGTAATGCTGAAGACCCACAGGGTTTTACCTTCTTGTGATCTTTAGAAAAAGCCAGTAAGCAACGCCACTTCCGCAAGGGGTGAGGGGACTGAAGCAGTAATAGTTGTCAAAGGCCCTCAAGGTAGTTTTAAGTTAGGAGGAAGCTGTTGCGTTGACAGAATCCCAGGGCACAACTTGGTCTGTCTCTGCTACTCCAACAGCGGAGAGTATCGAACAGCATGATGGGGTATTTAAGTTACGATACAAAACAGGGCTGGTTTGTATTGCAATTGTTTTACCTGTTAAAACTATTTTCAGATTATCTATACTGAAAATTTTGTACAGTGCTTTGCTGTATTTCAGGTCCGTGTCTTTGTGGAGTGCTGTGAGCCATCCAAAAAGCTTGAACTACTGGCAGCATAGAAATGATAGCAATACAGCAGAGCAGGATAGTGTTGATACAGTTTGCGAACAGGAACGGAACGGTATAATTCAGTCTTGCTCAGGGAGGTCACGAGAGCTACTAGTGCCTTGGGTTAAACTAGAAGCACAACCAAGACAGGAGGAGGCGCCTGAATGTGAACCGATCAAAAGCGCCTCTCAGGCCAGCGCCACTTTGCTTCCAGGTTCACATTTAATGCACAACCAGACGGCTAGGCCGACGGAGCAGAACGTTTCTACTTCTAAAGCATTTTTGAACAACTTTACGTGAGAGTCTTTGACTGTGGGAATGAAACAGGAATCCTGGGTGTTGCTATGGCTGGAATGCTTGGTTGGAAACTAAACCCACAAAAAATCAGGTACAGAGAAAGACGGGCCCCGTACATAATTATTATGCCTGCAATAATAAGTAATTGGACAGGTCACTAGCCAACGGAACACCATGATCGGCCTTTCCAAACTCTAAACGAGACCTTATCTTCAAGGTTCAGGGTGGGCACAAATGTACATGAAATACAGGTGCCACATACCGAATTGGGCAGCGAGCCAAAAGGCCTGAGCGGGCCGGCCGCCCATGCTATACAGTCTGGCCCAGAGATCCCCACCCACGCCTCTGGCGCGGCGCTGGGAACCAGGTCGGCTGGGCGAGGCACAAGGAAACCGCTTACTGGGTAGGCTGGCAGGAGTCCTCCGGGTCCCACAATATACTGGTTATGCAACAGGGGCGGCACACCTTGCGGCAGGTTGGGAGGAGCTTTCCCTGTGGAACCAAAAGAAAACGGCCTTACACACAAGTCACTGAAAACAGGAGAGAGAGAGAGAGAGAGAGAGAAAGCAAAGACGACGCGCAAGGCTCCAAGCAACCAAAGCGGCCTCCGCTCGGGCAACGGCGCTCCGGGCAAGTGATCTGCGACTAGAACGGACGAGCGCAGGAGGCCACCTTGGCTTCCCCTGTCTGCCACCCAGTCCCTTATTTTCCCCTTGTGCTTCTGCCTCAAGTCCTCCCATTGATGTCTTCTGCTCCAACGACAGCGGCCTCAGGCGCTCGCCCTGCCACTACCCAACCGCTTAAGCCACGCATAGCCTTTGGGCAAAACAGATGTTCCTCCTGGACTGCAGCAGTCTCGTACTTTCTGCGCTGACTTCTTCTACATTAGCTGCTCCTCACTCGCATCTTCTCTACTTCTCGTTTTTGTCTCCCTCTGGGAAAAGAATTGTGCACCGCATTTCGAAGATCAGTGGACGTGACACGAGACGAACTGAGGTCTGTTTTCTTCCCGAGTTTAGCTTTCCAGTTTTCTCAGGGGGAAGAACCTGTGAGCCTCCTCGTGATGCCCCGGGACCTCTCCTCACCACCTCTTAGCTAAGCTGGTCACACACAGCTCTTTCCCTCTTATTCCTTAACAAGCCCCAAATGCTGAAGTTCTGATTAATTTTGCTGCTAAAAGGGAGAGTCTGGTTTTGTGCCATAAAATGACGAGTAGAAAGGAACAATATTTCGGAGAATAACTCCGTTTACTGACAGAGTCACACCCCCGCATGTTTCACTAAGCTTAACTGCAAACAATAAGATCAAACGGAGGTGACTATTTTCAGCTGAGAACTCATTTATGCTGAGGAAAGCTCAAGACCACACACACGGTGAAGTACAGACAGAACAGGCAACCATGCTAGGCTTTGTCTGACGAAGCTGTACTACCTGTGCCCTTTCCGCATCCAAGCGCCCTCCAAACCCTCCCACCAAACTCGGGAGCAACCTGCCTGCATATTATATCCCAACGTGGCAGGCCTCTTGTGGTACTCAACCAGAAGGCCGTGGGATTCAGCCCTTACAGGCCTCATTTATTATCTAATGTGATCATTTAGACCCACCTGACCAAACCGGTCTGGGGATGGAGAGAACTGCAGATGAGGGAATACTAGGCTGGTGAAGGCAGGCAGACCAGCCACAGTGTCTTTGGAGACAGGCCTGGCCATCTTCTAGAAGTCATGCCAGACTTCTCCAGGAATGTATTTCAAAGCTGGGGTTAACCACTGGGTAATCACAGCAATGATGCTTTCAGAAAGCACTCTAAAACCTTTAATTTTTAAGTATAACTAAACTATACTGACTCCATGGTGCCCTCTTTGGACTTCGGATCGTTCAGCTGAGAGAACTTCAGCTGGCTGGGGAGTTCGCAGCGCTGGCAGTTGGACAGCCAAGCCAGCACGAGCGGCGGCCCTGGCTCACCACGCTGGGTCACCTTGGAGCAACCTGGGCTGGTGCCGTGGCCCACCAAGCACGGACTCTGCCCTCCCGGAAGCCATGCCACCATCGGCAGTGGCGACCGCCCACCGTGGCTTGAACATTCGCAGTGAGCACCAGCAAGCACCGCAGTCTATTGAGACGTTTGCGATGGGCAGTATGCCGAAGTTCCAAATAAATAAATATTTAAGGGGAGGTGGACTCCAGCCAGCATGCAAAGTGTTCGGAACCCGTCTCTTCACAATCCTCAGTTGCTGGGTCAGATCAGGAGTCCGCCCAGCCTGGAAATGTCTTCTCTGAGAGATCCTGGGCAGAGAAGGCCCCTTCCCATCCTGTCATCCATTCTCCCAGGGACAGGCAAGGGTTAATGACGCACGCAAAGCGAGCGCTTTACCTCCCCTCTCCCTGCAGACTCACCACCTGAGGGCTTCCTCACCTGCCAAGGAGTCCCGACTGGGACTACTGGGTGCAGTTTATAGATCCCACACACACACACACAGAGGAAAGCTGCCTTCCCTGCTGCTTTTCGCTTCAGCCCAGAGCAATTAAGTCCCTGCGTCCCATCCCAACACCCACCGGGATCCAAACCTTCCAGAATAAAAACAGAACTCCTTATCTGGTAGGTAGCGGGATATAGTCAGACCCTTTTCCCTAAGACAATTAAGAAAAGTTGTATCACACAACTTCGGTTATTTTTTCACCCATAATACTGCTTCCATGATAGCACACAGATTTTCAAATTTTTGGGAGTGTTTTATCACGGAGAGCGGAGAAGAGCAGATGGATCTGGTGACCATTCCAGTTTCTCACCACTGGGAGGGAGAGTTTAGTTTAGTTTTTTTTTTAAGGGAATAAGTTAAGCGCCAGGGAGAGGGTTTTCCCCATGAAGTATTCCCACACATTAAAAAGGCAGGCATTTTATTTCACAGGCCACTGTGCAAAGCAAGCTAAAAAGTCCTTTGGAAAAGGCACAGGACTTCTCAGTGCGGCTGCAGCTGGATGAGAGGTGCCCGGTGGGCAGACCTGCAGGCCGAAGTCCTCTCTGGCTACATCCATGCCATCTTGCTAATATTGCGAACCTGAAGACACCAAGGGAGCCGCCCGTGCGGTGGGAGCTTGGAGGGACACGCTGGTCACGTTCAGGCCCAGGCTGTGGGTAGTGCTGGCCATGCTGGAAACCGGAGAGCTCGTGGCCAAGGTCGAAGTGACGGAGAAGGTCGTGGGAGGCAGGAGCACGGCAGAGGCTTCGGAGGTGGCGAGCTGAAAAGGAAACCGACACACAAAGGACGGCGGTTAAGCAGCGAGCGAGGGAACAGCCGGGAACCACACTGAGGCCTGTCTTGGAGGAGGCCTTGCATGGACACCAGTCCAAGGTCCTGGATCCTCTGCAGGAAACGCTCTGAAATCAAAACCCCCAAGTTCCAGCAGCAATGCGGGGGGGGGGGGAGCAATTCAAGGCGAATTTGCCTAGGGAATCACATGGCAAGAGGCTGTTCTCATTCTCCCAATTATCTGCTGTTACAAAAATGCTCCCACGGAATGAAGCAATTAAAGAGTTCTTTTCATTTACTTCTCATGGAGAATTTGGCACTGATCAGTTGGGCTAGTGTGTGGAAGAATGTTTAAGTAGCGATACAATTACAGGGACGTCCAGTGCAAAAGATCACTGTGCGATGTACATTACTGCCCAGCGTTTCCTGTCTTGCTCTAGGTAACAAAGCAGAGAACGTGGGTTCTGCCAGCTGTCGCTAGAATCAAATCTGTGCAACAGGCTCCGTTTCCCGGTGACACCCCGTCTCGGTCTCGGATGTCCCCTCCACGGCACCATTCACCGCTGAATTATCTTGGCCTAAGCATGCCCCGGAAAATGGTCTGGAAGCTTCAACCGCCGCAAAATAGAGCAGCAAGGCTGCAGACAGGGACTGGCAGCGGCAAACATATAACCCCAGTCCTGCACTGCAATGGCTACCAACTGAGGTTCAGGTATTCATCTTCATGTATAAGGCCCTAAATGGTTTAGGACCTGAATACAGCGGTGCCTCGGCTCACGAACTCAATCCGTTCCAGGACTCTGGTCGTGACCCGAACTGGTCGTGAGCCAAGTCAAATTTCCCCATAAGGTTCAATGTAAAGAAGGTTAACCTGTTCTGTAACCATTTTTTTTTAATCAGAAATTTTGAAACAAAGTGACAAAGAACAACAAAGTAACAAAGTCCTGTACACTACAGTGGAGAAGGCTAACCTGGGGGGGGGATTGTTTTGAGGGAGAGACCCCCTCCATAAGGACACTGGGGGGATCTCTTTCAGGGGTTTCCTCTCTCCTTTGTCTCTTAGCTGCAGGGTCAGTTTTGGTGGAAAATCTGCCTATAGTCTCTTGTTTCTTCCTGCGCCGCATAACCCTCCGGAAATGAGAGACCACGCTATCGTTCATCAGATTCAACACGCTGTTCATTGGGGTGGTGCTTCTCAAAGAAACCCAGGCACAGGCGCGCTCCTGCAGGAAAGACGGGCGCAATCTCGGCCCTCTCCCCCCCCACAACCAGCACGATCGCGGCCATCCCCCCCCGCCCCCCGGGGGGGGGAGATGGCTGCGACCTTGGTTGCCACCCAAAGCGGAGTTCGTGACCCAAGTCAAAATTTCATGAAATTTTTGTTCGCAACCCGATTTGGTCGTGAACCAAGGCGTTCGTGAGCCGAGGTACCGCTGCATCTAGAAGAGCACCTCCATCGATACAGGGCTTACCCAGATCCTGAGGTCCTCATCAGAGGTCCTGCTCTGGGAGCTGCCTTTAAAGGAAGCTAGGAAGGTCGCTATCCAGGGCAGGGCCTTCTCAGTTGTGGCGCCCCGTCTGTGAAACCAGCTCCCCAGAGATGTGCTCCAGGCACCTTCTTTGTATACCTCTTGGCACCAGTCCAAGACATTTCAGAGTCTTTGAAATGTCAGTGGTTTTAATTTTAACACAATTTTACTTTTTGGCTGTTATTTGTAATTAATGGATTTTAATATTTCAATTGTTACTTTCAAGATGTGCCCAGTCTATTAATGTAAATCAACTTGGCTGTGCTCCTGCTGTGCTATTGATGTTTTATTGGTCTTGTTGTTTTATTATTGAATTGTTTAAGTCGCTTTTATGCTTTGTTGATGCATTTACTGTGTAAACCATCCAGAGAGCCATGTGGCTGTTGTGACGGTTTATAAAAGTGTTAAATAAATTTGCAGAATCTCCTCCCCGGAGGGCCCGCCGTTTCCCCGTTTAACTGCAGGTGAAACTTCACCTTCACTAAGTTCCACCAAAAGGTGCAACACGGTGACTTGGGCAGTGAATTCTTTTAGCACAAGACAAGCAACACCGAGTTATGCGCACTCTGAGAGGAGGGCCAGGTCAACAAGAAACCGCACGCTTTTTCCGCGTGAGGGAAAGCCTGGATATTTCAGCTCACAGCTCTCAAGACGTGCAGGAGACTCACCGTGTGAGACGTGGGTGAAGCCAGAGCTGAGGCAGACGAAAGGCTGGTCGGATGGTTCGAGAGGGAACTTGGAAGAGAACAAACGCGAGAGTTCAGCATCATACAATCCGCTCACTCCTGAGCATCTCATTAACAACGGCCATTTCTGGTCTCCGCCAGCACTACGAAAGCCAGTCTAGTCGGCTGGGAGGCACATCGTGAGCTGGGCTGAAGGAGCTCCCCGTTTCAGGAAAACCACTGCAGCTCAGCCTGTGGGCTTGTCCTGCATCCTCGAGGCCGGAGCTGCAGGCGGACACTGTCCACTGGCGCTCGACTGGACCAGCCCACACCACCAAAGGGCTGCCCAGTCCCCAAGACCACACAGCCCCAGTGCTCCAGCATCTCAGGGGCCTCCCTTCCCACTGGGCTCCCAGCACCAAGCCAACTGGGGGCGGGGCAGTTCTTGGCCATCTGGCGCAAATGTTCGACAGCGGTGGGATGAGTCACGTAAGTAACTAACCCAGAGGGCCTCCTGCAGGTTAAGGGAACAGCGTGGAACTAGCTGCTTGCCCCCCCCACCCACAACACCCCTCCTCCCAGTCACCCCAGCCTTCCTGCTGTACCTGCTTAGCTGGGAGAGTGAGCTGCCAGCCAGGTCATTTGGCTGGGGCAAGCTCGGGAGCGCTGCAGTGTGTGGGGGTGCTGAAGGCAGAAGCAAAGCAGTGGCGGCCGTGGTGCTAGGCAAGGAGGAGCCTTTGGTGGGGAGCGACGGAGGAGAGGGCTCTGTCTGAGATGCTGGAACTGACGAAGCAGCTGCAAGGTTGGAAAGAAGCTGTTCAGAGAGGGCCTGCACAGCACACCTGGGGCGGTGCACAGGATGGTGCGTTGTGTTAAAAGAGAGAGGGGGGAGGAGGAGGGGGGGAGGAGGAGGGGAAAACACACACAACCAGCTATGGCTGCAAGGAGCTACAGAAGCATCGACGGCCCTGCACGGTTCCTGGCGCGGGCTCACCAGGGAATGGCACCAACCAGCAACGGCTCCCGGCCTGTCCGGCTGCAGCGAGTGGATCTCCTGTCTGCTCAAGGTCCATCTGAAACGTGGCTTTCTGCCCCGGGCTGACATGCAAGGCCACTCAGCTTTTCAACTTTGCCCACTGATTCTCCGTGGACACCATGGTTGTCCCGAGCGTTAGTCTAACATAAGCCCAACTCATTTCACTGAGTCCTTCTAACGTGGGATATGACCCAGTGCTTCTGCTTTTGCCAGCTGCCAGGCAAGATGTGAGGGTGATGTACGCTTTTAACATCGACATCACACCAGGTTCCCTCCCTCAGCACCTCGTTTCCTAGCAACTATGGCTGTGTAATTCCAGCAGTGGGCAACTCTGCCAGGAGCTCTGCAGGCAAAGGAGAGGCCGCCTTTGGAGACCCGGGCAGGCTTGCTGCCAGTGGCCCAACAGCCGGCTGAGGGTTTCCTCCATTACGGCAAGCAAGTTAGTGGAACTCCAAGAACAGCCCAGACAGATCTGTCTGCACAGAACAAGCAACAACGCCTTCCCAGACGTCAGTGAGAACTGAGCTACTTCAGCGGCCCCTGGACTTCAACTTCACCTCAAACCGATGTGGCAAGATAGTGTTCTGGGTATCCCCTGCATTAGAAACTAGTCTGCCTGGGAGAAGAGGCAGCTGGGCAGCCACCTGACAGGAATGGTTAGCTTGGACTCCTGCACTGAGCCCCCTGGCCCCTTCCAACTCTACCATTCCATGAGTCTAAGAATCTGCAGGTGCAACACTGCCGTTCTCCAACACATATACGACAATTGTGCATTTTGCTTCTATTGGTGTCAAGGCACCGATACTAATGGATTTGATAGATAAATCCATGTTGTTATGACACAAGGTAACTCATAAAGAATTTGATTATACCCAGAAATCTGGAAGTCTCACAAAAATGAAAGCTAAGATAAACGAGAGCTGCACTAACAGATGCAAAAAGAAAACCATTCACGGACTGTGGATGTCCAAGATGCTAATTCTCCAAGACCAATTGTCCACCCTGGTAATTACTTCCTCTGAAAGCCCTACCTCCTTAACGGGCAGCATTCTCCTTCATGAGAACAGAGGCTCCGTCATCCTCCTGGCATTTCCTCCCTTGCCTGGCCTGCCCAATTACCCCTGCAACCCCCCCGCCCCTGCAACACACCTAGAAAATTCTGAGGTGCCCAACTGGAAACAAAGAACTGGCGTATTTTCCATCCCAGGCGCAGGGGCGGCATCAAAATGGCCGTTTCTGGGTGCTGGCACAGTGTGCCAGCCATCTTTCACCGGAGCCAAATGCACATGTGCAGCCCCACTGCAGGCTCGCAGAAAGGACTGGGACTTCCACAGCAAACCGCTTCAGGTACGTGCTTGGAAAGTGAACGTCACAGTCCTTCGCTGCATTTGTGGGGTCAGCTGCTTGCTCCAGCAGGAATCCCTTCCCCAAGCAGTTCGACAAGCCGTCTGAGCGGCGGTGAATTGAACAGAAAGAAGCAGCCGCTGGAAGGAGCAAGGCAGATCAGAAAGAGGCGTCAGGCAGCACAACTGCGCTAGAAGAAACAGATTCTCTTCTCTGACCGTCCTGCTCCATCCCAAAGTGGCTCTTCCCAGGCAAGGGGCGAGTAGAGACTTTTACGCAAAGGGCTGTTCAGCCGGAAACTGAAAGGGGCGTTGCTTTCTCGATTCTCATCACTGCAAAACCGGCATCCTTCCAATCCGAAGTCATGTGTTTTAAACAGCTAACTAGCATGGAAAATTGGACAGAGTTTCTGGAAAGCCCAATGGCACTAACATGAGCATCTGAGGCTTAGAAGGATATGAGAAGCAGAACTGGGAAAAACTGGGCTCAACGGACCCATGGAACACGGCGGCTTCCCAGGTCAGTAAGGTGTATTGAGGAACACGGGAGGCTGTGTTTTATGGGGTCTGACCATCAGCCCATTTAACCCAGTGCTGCCGACACCGACTAGCCACCGTTCCCACTGTTTCAGGGAGGAGTTTTCCCCACCTGCCCAGAGATGCCAGGAATTGTACATGGGACCTTCAACAAATATGAAGCCAGTGACGTGCTATCAATCCTGTCTGAACAACCTGGGCCAAACGAGACAGCAACAGACCAAGCAGCTGAGAGTCGTGGCTAATTCACTCCATTTCTATTTAGCTATCAAACTTCGATACCATCGTACAGTCGAACAACTAGCACGCCAGCTACATTAACTCCAGAACTGGCTCAGGGGTTCCTAATGAAGAATCAAAAAGGGTTTCCGACGAAATGTTTGTGGCCAAGCCAGTCCTGCTAAAGGCGGGACTAACGCAGGAACTGACCAGAGCACAAAGGGAACAGGACACTGGCCAAACGCTTGGACCGCACTCAACACAGGTAAGGCAACGTCAAGGGGAAGCACACTTTTGGTATATGTTGGCAATCTCTGGCCGTGACATTACTAGGCCTGCAAGAAGCGGCAGTACAACCCCCAGCACGCACACAGATACAAAAAGCACAGAAAGTAAAAGCCCTAATTCCATATTGTTCCATAAGGTTTTATGAACTTACTGTCCAGGGTTGGTTGTGTTCGAATACTGCTGTGTCCATTCTGAAAATCAAAGGAGAAATTTAGTGACTCAGCGCCACAAAAGCTTAAATTAAAATAACAAAGCAGTTGTGGTACATTTACCAAGACGCCCCTCAAAACTATCCCAATGCAGCCTTGGCCAATGCAGCAGTAATGGAAATCAATGCAGCTCATTTAACTCCTGCTCACACCCAGGAATACTATGGTTTGAACCACTGCGCTGCCTGCAGTTGTCAGTTAGCATAATATTTCCCTTAATGTTCAAACATAAGGGATGCACATTAAGGGAAATATTATGCTAACTGAAAACACACACTCTGTGGCACACATTGAGGGTACGTAAGAACATAAGAAAAGGCCTGCTGGATCAGACCAATGGTACATCCACTCCAACTCTGTTCATAGGATGGCAAAGCAGCTGCCCACAGGGTCCCCTACATGACCTTCACCAAGGTAGGCAGGGACCTGTTTTTCCCTGCAGAGGAGGGCAGGGCAGGGCAGGGCAGGGCAGGGCGCACTCCAAGGAGCCAATCTCAGGGAACCAGGGTTCAGTCTGAAGCACTTCCTGACAGTCGGGACCCCGAGGGTGTGGAATGGGCTTCCATGGGAGGTGGTTGAAGCCCCATCGGTGCGGGTGTTCAAGGACAGGCTGGACGTGCACACGGTGGGCATGTTGTGAGCAGAGCTGGCTGGAGCCGGGGGTCAGACTAGGTGACCCAGGAGGCCCCTTCTGACTTGCTCTGTTTCTATGACGCAACCATTTCATGCCGTGAAGCAAGAAAAGCTGAAGAAAGGGCAACCAAACGGATAAAAAGGCTGCCGCAACTCCCCTACGAAGAGAGGTTGCAACCGGTGGGACTGACTGGCTTAGGGGCGTCCGGAGTAATGGCTGATGCAGAAGCAGCCTGCAGGGAGACACCTTTCCCCTTCTCTCCTCCTGGCGGAACCCCAGCAGGGTCATCCCATGAGACGGACGGTGGAAAGGACTGGCTTCACCACACAGCACACCACTGAACTGTAGGATTCACTTGGGTCTCTCCGCACGAGGCTCCGTGGTCACTGTGTGGGCAGCATGCTGGGCTAGGTGGTCCGCTGAGGATCCAGCATGGCCCTCCTATGCTCTCAATAAAGGCAGGTACATTCAAGCAAGGGCGACAGCCTTTCTGGCCTTGCAGGATGCATCCCGCTTCAGCACGAGCCCCGTGGTCCACACACACGGAACATGTATCTGCCTCGCTTCTCTCAGTCGGGTCACCACTGCCCACTGCTTCCCAAACATTCTCTCCGCCTCCCACTTCCAATCAGGTAGGGCCATAAGTTCCAGCCGTTTGAATCCCTGAAGTTAACGAACGCGTGTTGGACTCAGTAAGCAACGTAGCAGTCGGTATATGCTGAACTGTCTCCCGCTCAGGACACCCCCGTGAATGAATCATCCCGTTCTTGACAGAGAATATACCAATACGTACAGCAAAGTACCCCATATGGCCGTGATCACTGCTCCCAGCACAGCAACAAGCTCTGGCACAGTGGCTTTTACGCTCCCGCTGCCCCGCGAAGCCAGGTACTCACTGTGACGACAGCTGGGGCGGATTCTGAGGGCGGCACGCAGCCCTGGTGTGTGAGCCTGCCATGCACAGAGGCCTGGTCATAGGAGGAAGCGGTTGTGACAGGACTGGTGCTCTGGGAAGAGCAGCTCAGGCTGGCAGAGGTGATGGCGGGGGTGGTGTAGGTGGACTCCTGTACTGTATTGGACATTGGCAAAGAGGTATTCAAAGGATCACTGAAAAAAGTAAAAGTCATTTATCGTCATGGTCAGTGCTGATTCAGGTATCACCCTGCTCCCAACAAAGCTTATTTTGAAACGGATGCACAAGATTAGAGCGAGCAATTCAAAGGAAAGGGCCCCACCGGACCACCCCACAACACCGGGACGAAGGCGTCTTACCATAACGTTTCGGTGCTGCTCAAGGGCTAAGTCAAACATTTCAAGAGACCCAGGAGTGGACTGACACTGATTGTTTCCCATGACTCTATCCCCTTAGAATATTAGAATCCCATAAAATATGGATCTGTCCAAGTCAAATTTACTGGCAAAGGAAACTAAGTCATATGTTGTGCAACGCCTGTGATTGCAAATCCCTGAGTAAGCTCTGACTCAGAACGTCCTCAAAGGAGTAGGTCTTACTATTCAGAGTGTATTGGCCAAGACAGTGAAACAGAATGTCCTCGTACACAGGCAGCAGTGAGCAGAGGAAGCAGCCAGCCAGCCGGGAGGGCCGCGGTTTCCATGTCTTGCTTTGTAGGGTTCTCCACAGACTGACTGACTGACTGACTTTCTTATAAAATTTGTATGCCGTTCATTACTTCCGTCTCTGGACGGTTTACAACATCAATCAGAACAAAATAAATTAACTAAATTAACTATTAACTATTCCACGCCGGCTGAAAATCCAATAAAATACAAACAATAACATCCAATCAATACATATTAAAATATTGATCGAACATATGGCCAGCCACAGCTTGTCTCTGGTCGACTGGACCTCAGACCCTGAAGAGCAGGGCTTTTCTAGATGACTTAATTTTCCTGTTCTGCAATTCCAGTCAAGGCACTTCCTTAATGCACGAATCAGCTCCATCAGAGTACCTTGCACAACACACCGTTTTGCAGGGATGACTTTTCAGTACGTTAAGAATATCTTCAGTGAACACACATGCCAGACTTTGAAGCAGTGCAGAGAGAAAGATGGCGCACGTGTGCCTGCTCAAACAGCAACATGCTGTGCCTTTCCCACATTCAGGGGCATGTCCCTCTGCTGCATCCTCCTTTACATCACAACTCTGCTGGGCAGAAAAATACCAGCTGCAGGGATGCATTTGGACTGTTGGCTGATTGTTCAGTCCTAGCCAAAGTACTCCGTAACACACAGTACACAAAAGTGCTAAATAGCTAGAATGGAAATATATTTTCATTTTCAGTGACTGAAGCTTATTTTGGCAAAGCACCAGTCCCCTCCTGGGAGGCAGCTCCCAAGAGAAGCTTCATCATGAAGCAAAGGCAGTCCTGGCTCTGCTGCTGTTGACTAGTCACTGGTGCCAGATGAATTCAAACCCAGAGACAGCCTTCAGAACTAACATAATCAGGGAGTGAGTTGTTCGGAAAGCTACGGATATTCACACGGATCTGACCCTCCTTCCATGCTGATTTTCTGGGTAGCACTTTCCGGGCAACAAGGAGTAAGCTGCTTTGCTCTAAATATTCTACTCCCAGGATTCTTTTATTGCCAAGAATACCCCTTGCCAAGTTTAATTTTGTGTTGTGGAAGATGCCTGAAGATGGAGGTGTCTAGTTCCAGGGGGCTGGAGAGAAAAAGGTACATACTTTACAGGCGTTGGGTACATGATGCTGTTGGGTGTCTGGCTGGTGTTCTCATAGCTTGGCGGAGATCCGAACTCTGACAGTGAAGGCTCCAACCCGAACTCCAGGGCGCCAAATTGCACATTTAACCCCGACACATCTGCCGATCCAGGCATCTCCACAGCCGAAGATGGAATCTGAGGAGGAAGAGAATGTGCTGTGACCTGAAGGCTCATTCCCATGTTCTTTCGTCAAGCGACAGGCACAATCCTTTACCTTCTCCTTAAGACACAAACATTTTATCTGTAAATCACGGCCTCCAAAATGGTTGACAGAAAATAAGCATCTAACAATTCAAATTCAATCTATGAACTTCCCTAGGAACAGAACATAAAGCAGCACTTAGAAAATAACAGCAAAAGCTCACAGACAGAATTCTGGCACGCATTACTCATTAGCTCGCCTTGCTCCTCTGAGGTGTGCATCTTTTTATTTTATTTATTTATTTATTAAAACAGTTCTATGCCGCCCCTTGCCGAGGCCTCGGGGCGGCTTACAACATTGCGGGGGTCTATGAGTGCTGAAGAAGCCAAAAGCCACGGTGCCCGCCAGGAGGCCAAACTCTCTCACTGGCCTGGTCACTCAGCAGGGGCACCCGGGGCAGAACGGGCAAGGCAGAGACAACAGACTAAGGTGGATCCACTCTGTTCAGGACTGACAGATTCGAAGAGTGGCTTTTGGCTTTGGCCAACTCGAAGAGTGAAGAGGGCACGGAAGAGTCTGATGGGCAGCTACTGGGGAACATCGATAGTTGAAAGCGACACTGACAGAGACCCAGACAATGGACGTGGCGCGCAAGCTAATTCTAATTAGTACTGCAAAAGTGAACTGCTTCCGAGTATTTCTTCTCTTGAAAGCCATACAATGAAACAATTCAAAACGGATCGAGAGAGAGTGCCAGAAGTTAAAACTCCTGGGTCAGAAGGCACGCGACTAGCTACTGGGCAAGACCACAGGGCGAGTGCGAATAGCCGTGTTGCAAACCGCACAACGAGATCAAAGCTGAGAAGAAGTCCAGCGTCCGACATGCACAGAGGTGAAAGGAAAGTCCGACACTGCGCCATACATACAGCTGGAACAGCAGAAGTATTATACTCTACTTGGCGCCACGTCAAAAACGTTTTATTTAACTGGTATTTTAAAAACTAGTCTTAATATAACAGTCACGTTTTAGTGCTTCTATTGCTTGAATTGTTTTAACGTATGTGATTTTATTGATACTTTTAATGTATTGATTGTGAGCCATCCTGAGATGCCCTGCATGGGGGGTGGCATACAAAATAAATAAATATTTTTAAATAAATAAATAAAGTATGAATCGAGGCAAGCTAGACACTGTAAAGAAGCAAATAGAATGGTCAGACATTGCAGTACTTGCGAATAACAAGCTGAAGTGGTCTCAAATGGGGATTTTCAGTCAGGCAGACACAAAGTGTCTTACCTGGGAAGTGAACAATTCGGAAGAAATGGAGTGGCTCTAACATCAAGGCGAAGGTGTAGCGCAAGCAGTGAGGGGCTATAAAACAATGTCCAGCCAGGTCAGAGTAATCGGAATTCTTGGAACACTTACCAGCATAGCCGTCACGCAAGTCTACACTACAACAGATGCTGCAGGAAAAATCGAAAGCATCAACAGGAAATTGGTAACACACCAAAGCAAGGCATGCTGATCGTCACAGGTGAGGGAAGGCAAAAGCAGGAAGCAAGGCAGAATCCAACCGTGTGGAAGGATTTGGATCAGGAGTCAGAAATAAAGTAGGAGAGCGACTCATAGAATTCTGTGAAGCCAGCAATCTGCCGATTATAAATACATACTTCAGGCAATTGACCAGACACCTGTACATAGGAGCTTCCACAGAAGGCCAACATAGAAAGTGAATCGTCCACGCAAGTAGAAGTAGGAGATTGAAAAACTCCATTCTCACTGCCAAAACAAGATCAGGAGCAGAGTGTGATAGTGACCATGAATTTTTTTAACTTCAAAAATCAGAGCAAAGTTGAAAAAGATAACAGACGCATCCTGCCCAAATGCAACTCCAATAACATTCCTGAGGAATTTAAAATCCACATGCAGGTTTGCATCGCTCAGTTTGACTGACCCTGAGCCACAGCAGCCGTGGGCTGAAATCAGGAGTATCATTAAGTCAGAATGCAATGGAAAAATCATGTAGCAAAAAGGGGAGAAACCTAGAAGGAGGGCAGAAGTAACACTTAGGGTGACTAAGGACAGCCAAGAGGCAGAAGCAAAAGGTGGCAGAAAATGGTTGGAATCCTGATTGCAACTTTTCAGTGACTGTCACATAGAGACAAAAACAACTATTAGAATGTCAATGTGAAGAAACAGAAGGAAATACTAACAGATGAAAACCAACAGACTTCTTCCAGAAGATCCAAGAAATCAGAAGGGAAATTCAAACATGGATTCGGAATGCGGAAAGTCCAACAGGAGAACAGACTATCTGACCAGGAAAAAATCAAAAAGGAAGAGGAAAGAACATACAGAAGAGGTCGAAACACAACAGACTCCTTCAAGAAGGAATCCTATGTGAAAGAGCCTGCAATATGAGAAGGAAAAGTGGAAGCTGCAGTGAAAGCACCTGGAAGGAAGGAAGTGTCCAGAGCAGGCAGGGTACCAACGGATCTACTCCAAGCTGCAGAGGCTGAATCAGTCCAAATCGTCACAAGATAATGCCAACAAATATAGGAAAAACCACAGGCTCGCCGATCATCCAAAACATTCCTTCGCCCAAGAATTGAGATGCAGAAGGGCAGCAGCAACCACTGGTCTGTTGCACTGATGACCTTTGCAAGCAGAGTGAAGCTCAAGGGGTTGCAATGAAGAAATTTACCCTGTTTGGAGAAAGAAATGCCTGGACCTCAAAAAGGGAGAGGTATTCAAAATCCTATCACAAGTACACACTGCCTACTTGAGTACACCAAATGACATCCCAAGAAGATCTGCCTGTGCTTTATAGACTTCAGGAAAGCATTTGACTGTGTGGCTCGAGAAAAGCTACAGATGATTCCGAAAGAAGCAGGTGTGCTTCAGCACTTGCTCATCCTGACGGGCACCCTGTATCACAGATGAGAAGCTACTGTTAAGACAGAATATGGAGAAAGATAACGGTTTCCTAGCGGCGAAGGAGTCAGACAAGGGCACAATTGATCTTCCTTCTTGTTCCCTCTGTATGCAGAAAATAGCACAAGGAAAGCTGGACTAAGGTCAGAAAAGAAGGAATAAAAATTGGCAGATGATGCATCAACAATTTGTGATTTGCAGATGGCACCCTGATACTGGCAGAAAGCAGCAATGAATTGAAATGGCTACTTCAGCAAGAGCCACTGGAGACGACGATAATGCCAGAGCGTTCAAGTCAGAAGAGGAGAATGAAGGCCACTGTGAGGTGGATCAATCCCACACACCAAGCCACAGCCTTTAGTTTACAAGAGCCACGCAGAGAAGTCAAAGGCAGGGCGTTCTGGAGGATGTTCCTTCATAAGGTTGCCGTAACAACACTTGTCAAAACCTCTAAAAGAAAAAAGAAGTTTACCACATGAGGGTCCCCAGGGCAGAAAAACCTCTCTAATCCATCTGGGGGCACTCAGAGCGGGGAGTCAAACAGGAGCTCAAAAAGAGCAGGTGCTTCATGCAGGGACGGCGTACTCTTCCGGTACTGGGCTGTATTAGGTTTTCTGAACCTACGCTATGCGCTGGGAATGTTAAAAAAATGGAACATGTGAAGCAGGAAGTGACTGGACTACAGCTACGAGGAGGGCTTAAATTTGAAAAAAGGTCGTTTCTTTGCTGCCAGTCGAGTAAGTTCCATGGTGGCAGTCGCAGAGATTCTTCCAAACAAAACTTTAAGCCACGGTGCAAGTTTGCTGTATGATCACCCTGGAAAAATAAAAAGAGCCGTGCTGGATCAGACCCACCCAGTCCAGCGCGTGCTTTCCAGAGTGAACCAGCTGCTCACAGGGTCTCACGAGCAGGATATGAGCACAGCAACACCCCCCCCCGCCCAAATTCCTGGCACAATGCCTCTCCTCCTGGAGGCAGCATCGTCTTTGGGCTTGGCACCCTTGATTCACCCTCCATGAATCTGCCCCGTCCCCTTCTGATGCTATCCAGCCTGGTGCCCGCCACTAGGTCTTGTGGAACTGAATGCAGTAGTTCAATTAGGGGCAGTGTGAATAATCCCTTCCTACGGTCCGTCCTGTATCTCCTGCCGCTCCATTTCATGGGACGTCCCCTCTGGAATCTGGTATTACAGGAGAGGGAGGAAAATGTTTCTATCCACTTCTTCCATACGATGCATAATTCTGTACACCTCAATCATCTCTCTTCTAACTCGCCTTTTTCCCCAAGCTAATCCAAGGAGTTGCACCAAGTTTTATTTCCAGCTTCTTTCCTAATCATTCCTAAACTGCTGCGTGCCTTTTTCACAGAACCCACACCCTGCACTGGCTTTTTCATTGAGCTGCCCACTGCAACCCCAAGATCACATTGTGATCTTCTGGGTATCCTGGGAATCCCCAGATTTGCCCGGAGAACACCGTGGAGTACACAGTGCCCACATTCACACGCACCTTACCCTCCACAGGAAGCGGAGAAAGAAGCAGCACCACGGATACCTTCGGTCTTTACAACAAGATCCCAGCCCAAGTCCCTATACTGCACGCCCGTGTAAAATCAGAGTTCACCTGAGGCATATATAACTTCGGGTACCAGTTAAGGGCACGCTCGTTTATTTTGGTTCTGGCGTGTTAAAATCGCAAAGATTTAAAGGCAGCCTTTCCGCCTACTGCTGGCTTTCCCCAAAACAGTTATTGCAAGCCACTCTTCCTGTATTTCCCATGTCAATTCATTGTTCGGAAGGAAGATAATCCTGAAAAAGCTCTTTCCCCTGCCTGACAATCTCCACCGAAATGCAGGTCATCAGTCTCTCAGAGGCACCCCTGCCACCGGCGGGCCCTTCAGTGTCCCTCACCTTCGAAGCTGGGGGTATCCTCCGTTTCGGCGGCTTCATCTGCTTCTGCTGGGCCTGATGGGCCAGTCCTGGCTGGCTCTCTGGAGACAATCTGGGGAGGGGCAGCATTTTGCTGGGAGCCACCGAGTTTTCTACCAGTGTTGACTCCCGCACCTTTTGTGGAGAAAAGGACTCCAGTCCGGGAGGAGGGGCAGGGGCTGCCACGGTCGTCGTCGTCGTCTGCTGCTGCCGCTGTGTCAGCTGACTCAGAACTGGGGACGGTTCAGGCTGAGATTTGAAGTCTAGACATAAGGAAATGGAACGAGAGAGTCAACCGTTGTGGCCGCTGGTTTTAAGCACGGTCTTGTACAGCCAGAAGGTCCATCGCCCAGAGAATTTATTGACACAATTGATATACTACAAATAAAAGGATTAAAAGCAAACATTAAAAGCAAGGTAACATTAAAACCATGGCTGGTCGGCGAGGAAGGCTTCCCAGAAGTGGGATGTTTCCAGCAAGCGCCAAACCTGCGTGGTGCTGGTGTCTGTCTGGTCTCCAGAGAGATCTCTGAAACTGATCCCACAGGTAGGACCAGAAGCACTGCCTCCAATACCCATCCTGTGCAGCTGATTCTGGAGGATCCAGGGGCTGATGAGAAAGAGGGCTGCACTCCCCTGCTCCTTGCCCGACAAGGGCCACCCAGCGGGCAGCCAGGGCTGACCCGGTCCAGCTCACCAACAGGCCTGCCCTTGCTCCCTCGCAGCCCTGGCAGGGGCCGTGCCTCAAAGGGGGCGTGCAAATGCCCCTGGCCCAGGGCTGGTCGCACTGCAGCCACCCCGAGCACAGCAGGAGCCGGTGCCTCAAGCAGGGGTGTGCCTGCCACTCCCTGGACCCAGGCAGCTGCTCCCTTCTGGCAAGCTTTTACTGGTCAAGGGGGCAAGGACTGGGAACGCACTTGGTCAGTCAGCCCACAGCAAGCGCCTGAACCTGTCACGTGGCCACAGGAATCGGAGGTGGTCCACCCAAAACGGCACGTGCCGCTGCCAGGTGGGATTAGCGTTCAGGTGAGAACACCGTCAAGCCCACCGCCAAGGCAAGAGCTCTGTCCAAAAAGGGAAGCACCAAAGGTCACCGTGGGTCGTGAGGGGGCCAGGGCTCCATTTGCTGGGGAGTGTTAACAGACCCCCAAACACCCAGAAGAGCTCGGCCGAATGGCTACCAAGGGCGCGATGGACACCTGTGCATCCACACGAAAGGCCTGATCAAGAACTCTGCCACACGTTCCGTTATCTCTGCTCAGGGCCATCTGCCCTCAAGCCAACATCCAGGCTGCTTCATCGATCACGGCTCCCCAGCAGACCAAGGGGGAGAGCAGCTCTGATGGGACTGGAGAAGGGGCTTGTGTGCGACCAAGTCGATGGCCCACACCAATCCATGACCTGAGGGGGATCACCAGCTCTGTCTACCAGGGCACCCCAAGAGCTTGGAGGAGTCCGCTGCATTCCTAATATTCTCCTGGGGCAGACCCTCCACGTGCCCCCCTCCTGCGCAGCTGCAGGAGGAAGCCAATGATCAGGACATGGCAATGCAGCCACACGCGACGTCCCCCCACCTCTCCATTTCCGACAATTCAATTCTCAGCTTGGAGAAAAGACCAAGTCAAGGAAAAGCCCAGCTTCATGGGTAGGGCTGACGACAAACTGAGGTGCCGTGGAGGCCATGAGGCCCCAGAAGGGGATGCGGGGGCAGCCTCAGGAACGAGAGGTGACCTAGGATCACCGTCCTGCGTTCTTCCGGGAACACACGTGGGGCCGCCTCTGCCACGGTGATCACTCCTCACCAGTCTCCACAAAGGGTCCCCCACCCTTAACTTTCACCTGTTTCAATGACAGGTTCACTGAACACTTACCAAACTGACTGAGGACAGAAGATTGTGAAACGGAAGGTTTTACGTCCCAGGATGATGCCGTGGTTGTGGCAACGGAGGAGCTTGTACTGAGAGAACTCTGTGAGGTGAACTGGCCCAAAGCTGGAGGTTTCAGCTGCTCTAAAATCGGAGATCCAGTGGAGTTGGCCAATTTTGCAGAACCAAGCTCTCCAAATCCCGAACACAGGACTGAGGACTACACAGACGGAAGGGGGGGAAAGCACATGGCTGACCAGATTGCACATACATTGTATACAGTTATTATGTTTTATATTACAGTATCCAATAAACAGAACATTTAAGTCCTCCTTAGTCAGTGATAAAATACGGGTATCTAGGAGTATCTTGATAACTCACAAAACAAATTTAAATTAAAAGTGATAAAGATCCAACTGTGTTGGGAGGCTACCGATAGATTTCCAATGACAAGTTCACTCCAGCCTTACATGATCATCCAGATGACACAAGGCAGCTTCTGCTTTTCAGGCGCTGGTCTGGGTGCTGCAAACCTTCCACCAGGTGCATCCTTTGAGCCTGGGGCAACAATTCCTGTCCATGTCCAACTACACTGGTTACCAGTTGAAGTCTGGGCCCATGTTAAAGTACTCACATTGATATATAAAGCCCCAATTTTGGCTCAGGGCCTGGCTATCTAAAGGAACGCCTCCTCCTGTATACAACCTACCCAGACCCTAAGATCATCTACAGAAGTCCTTCTCCGTACACCACCTTTAGAAGAAGAAGGGAAGGTGGCCACAAGAGGAAGGTCCTCCTTGGCTTTGGAACTCCACCGATGGAGCCAGCTCTTTGGGGAGGTGCACCTGGCACCAATCCGCTACACATTTTGGCGACAGGTCAACCCCTTTTTATTTATTTTAATTGTGATTAGGAGCTTTCAATTTTATACTGGTTTTTAGTCAAATGATTGACTTGCAGGGGATTAGCTGCTTACTGTCTTGCATGTTATCATCACGATTTGCCTGATACTGTTGGTTATTATACTCAAACTTTTTCATTATTGTGGGTGTTAATGGTATTATGTTTTCTGTTGTTTTAAAGGGTCGTACACTATTATGAGTGCATTTGTTAAAGAATGATTTATAAAAGTTTTAAATAAAATAAATGACCTTATAAATGGAGTTTTAAACCAATTTAAAATAAACTTATGAGAAAAGCAGCATCTCTATAGGAAGGCAAAGAAAAGACGTTAGCTCTTAAAATGTCTTAAAAACATGATCAGACAGATTCAACAAAATAGATCCCTTGAGGGAACATCCACACAGCAGGGGCCCACCTCTCTCTGGTACCCACCAACCTCACAGACCACAATGGTGAGTCTCAAGTCTGCCATCATCGATCCTAATGCGCAGGCAGGTCTACATGGGGGTAGGCATTCCCTCAAATAACCAGGACCCAAACTATTTCAAGCATTAAAAGACTGGGCAAAGCACTTTGGAACTGGCCTTTAAAGGCACCGGCAAGCAGCAGAATGGGGCAGAGGTGGCGTTATATAGTCCAACCGCCTAGCCCAGACGAAGACTCGGGCCTTTTACACCCGCTGACATTCCCAAGCAGTCTTGTAGCCTCTCTTTCTTATTTACTGTAAAAGCACCACTAAGGAAAATATAAGCAGGTTGCTAAGTCACCCTAAGACCCTAGAATTTATTATTACTATTAAAACATTTCTATGCCGCCCCATTCGCCGAAGCCTCCGGGCGGCTCACAACATAAAATTAAAATTAGAATGGCCTGCCTTTCCCACAAAAACTGATTTAAACCTACAGAAACTAAACCTAAGCACATGTGACCACACGGGACCATATTCTTAACCTGCTGCTCTTTCCCTCCCTTCTTTCATGTCAAAATTTGCTTTGCAAATGCCTTGGGGGCAGATGAGTTGAGGCAGTATCTATCAATGGTGCAGCAGCAGTAGTAGCATAGTAAACATATCACAAAGAGGAGAGGATAAACCGGAAAAGATGCTTATACAGGGGAACTTGATGCCTTCTCGCACTAGCAAAGCACTCTTTACAGGACCAGAAGACTCAGGAATAGTTGATTTCTACATGCAGCTGTCAGATATGTGCTTGGGAAAAAATACATCACAGTCCTCTGTCCCGTAACTGCTTGGCCCTTCACGAACACAACCTTATGGGATTATTATGAGCAAGGGGCTCTCTGCTCTCGTCTGCAGAATCAAAACAAGCGGGTCCCTTCAGCCACTGATGGGGCAGGTCACCGATAAGCTCCCCAAGCAAAACTGCAAGCGCAAAGACGCCTCTGCACGGGGACAGACTTCACGCCCATTTAATGGCACGCCTGCAAATAATGAGAAAAGGCGGCTGGCGTCCAGTGGGGAGGAGAGCATGACATTGTAATAGCTCTGAGGGGAACTTTACCAGGCTCTGAGGAGAACAGGAGTTCCCGGGGCTCGTGCTGCTTGTTCCCAAGGCCAGCTGCGAGTTGTGCTGGGAATTCGTGAAGACCAAAGCCTGACCGAAACCTTGCTGTTGCGGAGTTTCGAAGGAGTTTGCCTCTGCTTCCTGACTAGACGTCACGGGCTTCTGAAGCAGCGTCACCAGGTCAATGCTACGGGAGAGAGAATCGAGGAGAGGATGTCAGAACTTACCAGAAAGGCTACTGCGCACATGTCAGAGTTGGGCGGACTGTAAGAACATCCTGGAATTCCAGTCCAATGCTGCAGGACGGGATGCCGAAACAGGAGGCCTCCCTGACCAGGGCTTCTCCAAGTTTCTTTTCATACACTCTAAAGAGATTATATAACATTCCAAGGTCCCACTATTCCACCTTGCTTAGTTTGACAAGCAAGGCAGGCAATCTGTCTAGCAAATAAAAATATGACCCAAGTAGATTCCAATTTAATTATTTTGAGCACTTATATCAACCCAAGTTGGAAATAGGGCAGATTTGATGTAAATCACTAGTCCTGGATGAGGGGTTTATAGCATCTGCCTGCCTGCCTGCCTTACCTGTAGGTAGGGGAACGTCATTAAAATATTCCCAAACTGGGTCTGTTTTACGGCTTGCTGCCATTATAGGTTTTCTCCACCAGGGAAAGAATAATATGATATACCTCAGTTTATATGCAAAATGAGCCACAGAACTGTGCAGGACTCTGCTCACTTTCATTTCTCCTGCTTGCCCCTCCCTGCTCACACTTCGCTTCCTGCGCAGATCTATTCCACTCCTCCATTCATAGATTTTTTGGAAACTTAGCACTTAAGAGGTGAAGGATTGATTCTGTGTACACAGATTTGCAATTCTTCTCAATTCTGTATGTTTATTTTATGACATTTTTGCTGTGAAGAGGCATGTGATCTCTACAGACACAAACTGAGTGTTGAGAGCTGTAAAACCAAGCATCTGTGATAATATATTCTAGACAGTAAAAATGCCCAATAATCTTACAGGAAGCTCTGGAATTCATTTACCAAATAATCTAAACATTGTGTAAATATACAGCCTCATGCTACAAAATTAAAAACTAATTCTTATTTCATGATGAATAACCTTTGGACTATAACATATCTCAAACAGAAAACTACCTTTGGATAGATTTATCCTCAAAAAGCATTTTATTTAAAAAATCCAATTTAAACTTAAAAAAACTGATTTAAATTTTAAAAAATCCAATTTGATATACTAAATTTTATCCACCTGGTTGGAAACCGTTTTTGCAAACTTGACTGGTGACAAGCTAAAATATTGGCAGTTCCTCAACAATCCTATTGCTCTGGCATATGAAAAGCATATCACTCTAGCTTTGGGAGGGAAGCTCCAGTCCCTGAGATTACACAATATGGAAGAAACAAGTAATGCAATCAAGCAATCAGCCCGATGCTTCTGCACGAGCATGTGTTCTTCCAAAATTCTCCTTTTCAAATGTTCAGATTTATTAGAAAAGGGGAGCTTTGGCTATGCAATGCAGGGAAGCACTTAAGGAATGAATGGCCACAGAGACCGGGCAAAGGAGAAGAGCGGGCACCAGCAAATAACAGTCGTGAAAGAAAGTTGAACAAGGAATCTAGGCATCCCTGTTCATAAGCATTACTGTGTTCCAAATGGTCTTTCCACAGAGACAGATCGAAAGGGAGAGTTTTGTATATGTGCGTGTGCTCCAATGCACGGGCGCACACTCCCCAGAAAGTGCATTCCATTCATAAGACAAGCTGGTGAAGGACACCCATCAAAAGCCTCTCTTAGCAATAAAAGCAGGCTGTTCAACCGTTCTGGAGCCTAGCAATGTGTTCCCAGCCCTCTTGATCTTCACGCTGAGTGTACAGGAAATGGTGCAGCCTCCTATAGAAGCCAGAGAGCTTCGAGCTGTGGAGCGGTATAGAAATTAATTAAATAAAAGTCGACAGAGAAGTGCAGTGGGAGGGCAGCAAAAATGTTCCGGCCTTTCTGTCTGTTAGACACGCAGAAAATAAAACCGCAATACAGAATCCAAAGGCAGCCGAGGCAGAAATCACACCATACCCGGCACACGATCTGCCCAGTGTTTCTGCGCAGAATCCAGCGCAGAAACAAAACAAGCTACCAGCGGGGGGGGGGGGGGGGGGGGGGGGGGGGGGGGCCCCCCCCTCTGTCTGCAGCCCAGGAGACTTCTATGGGGGGGGGGGGGGTCTCCTCCCTGGCACGCAGAAATGCTGCTGGAGCAGGAGGGGCTGCTTCGTCCTCAGGTAGCCAGACCATTCACTCAGGTGAAATTCCTGGTCACCATGGTGACCAGGCCGGGGAAGAATAAGACCCAGAAGGTACAGATAGGGAGGATAAAGGAGAGAAGTTTTTAAAAAATCTGTGTCAGCTGAGTGGGGAAGAACAACAGGGAGCTTCAGATGCTGGGGAGGTACAGAAATGAAACAAACTAATCCAGCACCTCAGGTGAAAACAAACTAATCCAGCACATCATTTAATTTACACTATTTGAAACAAAATCCAAGGCTAACATTCGTGCCAAAAGCAAAAGCAAAAAAAAAAAAAATCACTACTGCCATTAAAAAAGAACTGAATCATGCCCTCCCACCCGCCCCCGCCCCCGAAAACAGGTAGTGTCCAGTCATCGGCAGGGAGGACAATGTCAAACATGGTTTAATCCCTCGAGCCTGTTTGGGCACCCCAAGTGGCTGCATCGAAGGGCCATCCCTTTGCCACAACCTTCCTGCCCACTCCCCGCGTTCGGCTTATGAGGGGAGGCACGGAGTGATGCCCTCGCAAGGCCCATCCTCGTTGCCCCCGTCAAGAGAGCCCACAGATCAAGGGATCGGCAATCCAGGCATGCCCTAGACCAGTGATGGGAGAACACTTTGAGAGACCGAGTGCCCAAACAGCAACCCAAAACCCACATATTCATCACAAAGTGCCAACACTGCAGTAAAACCTGAACACTGAGGTTTTAGTTTAGAAAAAACAACTCGCAGCCAGTCCAAGCAAATATACACATATATCCTTGGCAGCGCACTGACTGGCCATGCGAAAGCCTGGACGAGTCGCGGCTAATGAGTCGTGGCTCGTGGCCTCATTGCGTGGCGCCGCTACCCCTTTCCGAGCAGGCGCAGGGCCCCATGTGCGCTGTTATCCGATGCTCGGCTGCCGGGGCGCTGCTGGGGCGACTTGGCCCGCGTGCCGGCAGAGAGGGCTCTGCGTGCCCACTGTGCCACACGAGCCAGACGTTCGCCACCACTGCCCTGGACTAACAGCTGTAAGGCACAACCAACTCATGGCACCAACAAGGAAAACAAGGCTCCTCTCAGGATCCAAAAGAGACCCCGTTTCTCCCATGTAAGCCAAACTGGAACAGGGCTCAGGTTTTAGAAAGGAGCGAAGAGACTTCAATCTGAATTACAGCCACAATGTGTGGCCAGCTGCATCTCAAAGCCGCAAACTAGATGAAGATTTGTTTTTGGGCCTGGGCAGAACAAGCGTGACACAGATATTTGAGGACCTTCATTCCATTCTCCGTCTCCTAAACCTGCATGCCCAGCAGTTCCCTGCCTCCAAACAGGCCTCTGGCCGCTGCCCATGGCTTCCGTCGGCATTCCCTGATGCAAGTCCTCCTGCAGCTGCCGTCTTTCTAGTCCCAAGCCCCATCCACCCATGAGCAGGGCTGGAAGAGGAAGGAACTAAAAGATTGTTAGTGAGGCCATAGAAGATATTAACATCAGTATACCGGGGGGGGGGGGGGGCTATACCACTCCTGTGACATGCAGATGCTATTAGTCTACAAGTATAAAGACCGACTGTGTTTCGTGAGAGCTGTTCCATGCTCCTTCTAAAATGACAGTATTTTGCAACACCTTTGCTTTACACAAATACACATAGTATGAATTAGTTTGGGGAATGGCTGCATCACATGCAGAACAGAAGGAGCAGGGGAACATATACCTTTGGCCAGGAGCAGCGTGGTTCTCAGCGGGAACAGATGAAGCAGTGAAGACCTTTGTTTCTGAAAGCTGAGAAAGGTGGGAGAGAAATAGAAATTATTGACTACTCTAAGTACTTTTTTCCAGGAGACAGTATTCATTGAGAAATACAAGATGTACCATGCTGAGTGGGGCCAAATGGTTAATGTAGTTCACGTAAAACTACAGCCAGTAAAAAATGGCTACACGGCAGAAACAGGGCTAAATCTTTCTTTTAATATTATAAAATATTATGTTTCAAATATTCCATGTTTCAAATATTCTATGTTTCAAATATTCCAGCCACTTTGGGAATTGACACGCCTTAGACTGGGGGAGCACTTAAGCCACTGAATCCACCTCCCAAAGCAAATTTAAATGAGCCAATATCAATCAAGGGCAGAAGGTATTAAGAAAATTAAAAATGGGGAAACACCAAGAATGGAAGGTTCAGGGAACCAAGTGTGTGAAGTCTTCGCCACAGCTTCACAAGAGATGGTGTTAATCTCTTGAGGCATTATTCAGTGGTATCCTAAAAGGGGGGTTGATCCCAGCTTCCTGGAAGCAAACATGACTGATGGCACTTCTTAAGCTAGGGGAAGAAGCCATCATTCTGGCTGATTTCCATCCTAAACCAAGATGTGACATTTCTGTTGACCATCATGGCCACAGAATTAACTCACTTATTCCTCAACAAGCCAAGTCGGTTCAGGGGGTAACGTGGAGCAGATTTATCCTGGATCACAGGAAGTAGTATAAACAAATAATCCAGACTGCTTTTCGATTAAAAAACAGGACGATGCAGCTTGCCCACTTTCACCCTTAATTTTTCTAATTGTAGTGGAAATATTAACCGATGCTTTGAGAGCTACTTCAAGGATGACTATTCAAGGAAAAATCTCCTTTTTTAAGTCTTCCTGCTGATGACATCTTAGTTATATAACAAAGTCCAGCAACAGCCATCCCAGAGCGTTAGGCCTTCCTTGCAGCATTTCATTAAGTGGCTGGCCTAGAAATCAATTATTCAAAGCCCAAAATGTGATGTTTGAATATCCTTCTGGAAACCAAGCTTATGGGCTGCAACTCCAGCAAGAATGCTTTAACTATTTAGTGTTACAAAAAACAAAAGATAAGTAATATTTTTGTAAAAGAAATTACTTCCCTTTGTTACATAAAATATGACCTGAATAATTTTACTGGCATAAATTAAAGCCAAGCTCCCCTGACTAGAAAGAATAGCAGTCTTTAAAATGTTAATTCTGCATAAAATATTGCTTTTATTACAAACTTCTAATATGGTTTCCTCGACTATGTATTGAAAATTGGCAGAAAATGGTAGATGCTTTTGCCCATGAAAGAAAGTGGATCAGATTAATTCAGTCTAATTGTTCAGGTCTTGTGCTGGGGGATTGGGGTTCCCCATCCTCCCTTCTCAATATAGAAACACAGGCAAAGAAACAGAGCGAGTCAGAAGGGGCTTCTAGTGTGACCCTCAGCTCCAGCCGGCTCTGCTCGTGACATGCCCACCATGCGCATGCCCATATGGAACACTCCACAAACTTGTGAGCATTTGTTGCAAGAGAGCCATGCTAACTCAGTCTCAACATTCCAATTTAGTTTTGTTGTTGTTAGTCGCGAAGTTGTGTCCGACCCATCGCGACCCCATGGACCACATTCCTCCAGGCCTTCCTGTCCTCCACCAGCTCCCGGAGTCCACCCAACCTCACGCCAGCTGCTTCAGTGACTCCATCCAGCCACCTCATCCTCTGCCGCCCCCATCTTTTGCCATCTATTGTTCCCGGCATCAGGCTCTTCTCCAGGGAGTCCTTCCTCCTCATTAGGTGGCCAAAGCATTTGAGTTCCATCTTCAGCATCTGGCCTTCTAAGGAGTTTGTGTGCTGCCAAATCACACACAATTATGGCACACGCTGATGGAAGAAAGAAGAGCTTGCACCTCTGATGGAAAGTCCTGGTGCCTCCTTTTCCAGGACAGGACCCAACTCACACACAGTGAATCACTGACTAAAGATCTGAGCAGGATACAAATTTGGAGGCTGTTGCACCCCAAATTGGTGCTTCAACTCATCTCTTGGGCTCATTTTTTGTAATGCAGTTTCTGCAGAACTGCGCAAAGGGCTTTTGGCCTACCGCATTCCCCGAATTACTACAAGTTTCTCATACAGCTGTTTTGCACTTCGCTCCCAGGGCTACAAAAGGCTTCCATTACGGCCCTCAGAGAAGGGGCAGGGCAAGGCCAGGCAAGACATGGAAGCATCCCATAAGCACTTGTTATTTCAAGTCCGCGTCCATGACCAGGCAACCCAAAAAGACAACAATGGTCAATAGCATGCAGTTGTAAACCGCCAAGCCTGTTACAGCCAATCCCAAAACAGGGCAGGCCTGAAAGGCCCAGCTAATAGATCAGCTTATGGTCTGCGTTCTCCTTGCAGGCAGGACAGATTATGGGCAATGTTAAACTGGCCACAACTGGACCCATTGCTGGGAACTGTGGGATTTATTAGACCACACGATGTGCCCAGCAGCTGAAACTGTTTTTACACACCGAGGTAAACAGTGTTTCTGGGAAGTAACTTAATCTGCCTAAGAGTAGCTCTCTGAGAGAACCCAATCATGGCATATTATCAAAATCAACAGCAAAAGATCCCTCCCTGCCACAACGGCAAATGCCTTGAAGCAAACAGCTGAGCAACTGTGGCTGCCAGATGCTCTGTGAAAGCTGCATTGCCATGCTTGTCCCCTTTTCAGCAAGAACTCTCTGCTCAAAAGCAACCTTGGACCTCGGTGACCTCTCTGACTGAGTCACTCACCAAGCATACATGGGAGTTTTACGTAAATGTTCTCTACTCGCAGCTAATGCCAAAGACAGAAGCTGAGAAGAAAGGCTGGAGAACTATCATGTTCCTTCCCTGCTGATGGGATTGACTGGATGGGCTGGGGTCACATTAGTCCAAAATAAAATAAAATGAATACTTTCGCTAGCAATTCATGTTGTAGAAGGCATGCATTCGGCAGCTGGCACTTCATCACAGATCACAAGGGACAGGTAAGTCCCACTGAGCTGAGTGAAATGGTGTTAAAGGTGCCTTTCCTTTCCTTTCCTTTCCTTTCCTTTCCTTTCCTTTCCTTTCCTTTCCTTTCCAGTAAAGGTGCTCATTGCACTTAGGAAATTATGCAGATTTATCTTTCCAAAGAATTGTGGCTGCACAGGCAAGCTGAGAGCTTGTGCAGCACAAGCTTTTGGGCAAGTGAAGTTTAAACAGTGCCCAAGATTAAAGTTAACCGTGCTTAAAGAGACCCTCATAGAAGCAACAGGGTTCAGCGCTCTGACAAAAGGCTCCATGCAGTTCCAACAGGAGGAGGAGATGCTGGACGATCACAGAATGAACGGAACAGCCCTGCCGACCCAGTAAATAGACAGAGACTTACATCTTCATTCCACTCTTCAGCCGTCCATTCTTCTATTGAGTTCTTCCATGCTCCTGTAGTGATGCAGGGGAGAAGAAGCAAGTCATCAGCCCATAAATCCCAGTGCCGGCAGAAATCTGTGTGGCTTTAACAGTGCAACTTTCAAGATACTCATCATCGTAATTTTGGCAAGGCTTTCAACAATCAAAATGCCAGCCTTGTTGGCATGCTAAATTATTTCCAGCAAGAAAAACAGATTAATCATTCAAGTGTCCATGTAAAGAATAAGGGAAGACAAACACCACCCGGCCTTAACACTGTCTTCCAGAGGAAGCAGGGGTTTTTTGGCGAATAGTATTTTGCTCATAGCCTCAGAACACATTAACAGCTGTCTTCACACCCGAAAAGCAGCCATCGGGCAATGGCAGCCGATTGTCAACATTCTAGCTTTCCACAGCAAACATGCAAGGAGGTAGCACAGAGATTATGACGACGCTACATCTATTTTTAATTTTGAAAGTTTCATCGCTACACTTTTGTTAGATTGACTGACTCTCTCTCTCCTGCCGCTGAATTTCCTTTCTTTTTCATTACAGGGTTGTGATTGTTAACTCCATTTTGCTCTGGCTGTTGCAGTCAATGGACTTTATAGACTCTATTTCTATTTTGTTGTGTTTTAATTATGTACTTGCACGCTGCTCTGGGAACTTTTGAGTTGAACAGCTGGGCGTGAAACATTTAAATAAAACAGTGCCTCCAACACTGAGGACAGCTGGTGAGCAAATTCAGGTTCTTTCCTTGTTTAAGATATTAAGATAGTAAGACTGGGTGAAAGAAGGAGAGGTACCTTACAGGATTTCTTTTTAAAAATTGGAAGACTCCAGACAAAGTTCTTACACACATTCCGCAACAGTACCATTAAGCTGCAAAATCTGGCAGTGTGAAATACGGAGCATAAAACCTTAAGCTGAACGTTTCTTCAAGCTTTGAAATGCTCCGTGCTTTCTGCATGCCTCCACTGAATGGAAGGCTAGTAAAGTTTTCAATTAGAACCAGTGACTGCTTATACTTCTCATAAAAATAAAATTATAGAGGAGCAACAAGTAAGTTCTAAGTGATAGGCTGAAAACTCTTGTAAGTTCATTTGCCCCTCTCCAAATGTACAACTTTATCAGGCCAAACAGCTGCTAAACACGAGTTGGACCAAAATTTTCTCAGTAAGATATTGGCAAATGGCCTTTGTCAGCAGAAACATTGAAACTGTTTTTCAGTAATTAAAGACAACAGTGACAACATACTTGCTCATCCTGAAGACACACATTTAGAAAGTTTAAAAGGTTATTCAGATTTGTTTAGCAATGGCTTAGAAATATCAGAGCAGGAAACTGATTTTTTATTTGACAGTTAATTTTCCTATCCGGATACCTTACAAAGGTAAACAGTAACTTTGAGGGCTGATTAAATTACTAAAGCAAGAACCAACAGGGACATGGGGAAATAATCCAGTCTGGAGAGATGTTTAAATGAGTGGCATAAAATATTCTCCAGTTTGCTAGTTTGGACAATGATTTATGAATTGGGTTCTTTTTCATCAGCACTCAGTGATGCTTATACTAATTCTTAAACCAGAAAGAAATCAGACCCACTGTGCTAATTAATTCCATCAATTTATTTTATTTATTTAAAACATTTCTATGCCGCCCCCATCGCAACAAAGCCTCGGGGTGACTCACAAAGAATACATAAAAACATACATAAATAATAATAATATAACAATTAAAAAACATTTAAAAACTCCCAGTGCATTCTCGGCTAAAAGTTTTAAAATCCTAATTAACTCAATAATTTAACAATTAAAATAAGTTTTAAATAAAAAGGTCTTAGCCTGGCGCTGAAAAACCAATTCACTGCGCAAAGCTGGTATTAACTGCACTTTGGGGGACAGACTGCAGCAAGTATTAGTCCACCTGATTCAAGAGGGGCTCATAAACCTAACCTTAGACTGGCTGTGATCTGAGTGCGCTACGTGAGGCTAAAGCAGCCACAACTGCCATTATTGCTTTGAACACAGAAAGGCAGCTAATAAAATTTATTGGAAATTTACCTCAACCACATTAATTTTTTTCATTTTCCTCCAGAATTTCAGAAAATTTCATATGAAACTCCTAGAGCTAAGGTGAGGTCCAATAAAATCCTGCCTCAGTTTCTTTTACTTGAGAGAGCTATTGAACAGGGGTGCCTTTTCTCCTGTTTTAAATGTAATTCAAAACTTAGGTATATTTTTCTTCTTCTCCAATGGTATGGCTTGGTTTGGGTATTGCAGAGTACGTACCACATTTTAAGAATTCTTGCAGGTTGTCTCCCTTGCATCATGAAGACTAGAAAATTTGAAATGCCCCCAACAAAATTCAAGACCATCTATGGATGAAAAATGTTGTCTCTTCAGGGCTTCACGGGGCACCCACAGCCACCCTGACAAGCAGTCCTATGATCGAACATTCTTCCGTTGGTTTGCAAGCCAAGAGCACTTGCATGTAAATTCAATTCACTGGCGAATTTGTGGGGGTGCTCTGAGGCATGTGCTTAACCACAAGGGCATCTCATTCTTCCGCATGAATGACGTGCCTACTCGTTTATTGCTCTGCTTTTGTTTTGGCTGATGTACACGCCCACATCACGCAAGTGCTTCAGAGGAAGCTCAAGATGTAAGGGGTGCAATGACAACCTGTGGAAAATCCAGACAGCCTGGTCTGCTACGTTTCAAACTGGTTTTGTGGGGAAGCGCCAAAAGTGGCTGGAGAGAAGGTGCTCTGCCAGCAGGTAGGCCTTTGGGAGTGGCTGCGTGCATTGCGAAGGGAAGCAGCCTTTGCTTAAAAGGGGTCCTTTGCGAGCCAGTGGGAGCGCTTTGGAGCCAATGCAGGAGCTCCTTGGCTAATTATCAGAGAGAGGTGGCTGTGTTTTGGGCAACCGTGGGAGTCCCCCCCAGCCCCACCACCAATACAGAGAGGAACCCATTACCACATACGTAAGGGCTCAGGAAATGAATTCCAGTTGGTGAGGTGGTGGAGCTGGAAGGGGACAGTTTCTCGTGGCAGCCAGAAAGCCAACAGACTAACTGCAGAGCAGGTGCCGACATGGGAATCGAGGCGAGAAAGGGTTCCGCTGCAAAGGCATCCAAGGAAAGTGCCGAGGGCTTGCGGGAGAATGAGAGCGAGAGCAAGCCTCTGCAAACCTGACTGTATGGTGGGGTATCCAGAGCGCAGCCAGCTTATGGTGGCTTATTTGCAGACTGGCTTAGTATGACATGCAAACCTGCTCATGCACAAAGCCAGACAGAACTCTTCAGAAGGTCATCAGATTGCCTCCTCGCGAACAGCAGCAAAACAGTTAAGGGCAGCCTCCTTTCCAGAGGGGGAACCGTGAGGCACTCTCCAAAGCCACCTCTCTGCCTGCAATTCTCCACTTCCTAAGCACAAGCCAAAACCCACAGGTAGCACCAGAGGGCACATGGACAAAAAGCAACGCCCATGATAAAGACCGCTTCTGCCAGATGTGCGAATCCTGACTTCTTGCGGCCTTGCCTCACCTGTTCCATCATCTCCGTCATTCTGCCCAGCCTCCCAAGACTCCAGCTTTGCTCCAAAGCCATCTGTGGCAGAAGATTCCGTATAATCTGCAGGGTTAAATGTCCTACAGGTCAAAAGAGTTGAGAAAGTCAGAAATGTACAGAAAACTGGGCTTATGTACCTGCCTCAGACGGAGCTGTGCTATTCGCCTGCCTATTCCCGCACTGTCTGCTCTGGAGGCCAAGGGGCCCTCTGGAATCCCAGGGCTCCTCCCCAGATCCCCTTCCGCCTCTCCTCGTAACTAGATGAACATTAATCCTGGACCCCAGACAGTGCAAAGCGTGTGCACTTCTGCAGAGATACCGAGCAGGGAAGAGCCACCATGAACATACCCAGCAGCTATGGAAGAAAGTGCTTCCTTTTACAGCATTAACAGAAGTGGGTTGAAGGCAGAAAGGAGACTCTTCCTTAATGTGGCTGCTTTAACAAATTGGCAAGTTGTGTTAATAAACACAACATAATATGTGTTTTGCATGCATGCATGATTTCCCTGGTCCAACAGCTGTCATTTCCTCTCAAAAGACCCCAGTCAGTGAGTGGGGAAACTCTGGGAAGCCGCAAGGAGCTGGAATACACTGTAATGTTTATATTGTGTTTATTTATTTATGATTGTGAGCCGCCCCGAGGCTTCGGCGAATGGGGCGGCATAGAAGTTCTCTAAATAAATAAATAAATAAATAAATAAATAAATGGTAAGATCAACAAATGGGCTAATTTGGCACACTGCCACTCCTTCTGCACCTGAAATAGCAGTAATTAGGGCAAAATTGTACTTTCAAAACAACAAAGAACAGCCTGCTTCCCTCCTCCACTGGTAAATCAGCCTGAAAGGTCAACTATATATGCGAAGCATGGAGTTCCCAAAGGGAGAGGACAGATGGTTTACCAGTAACTGTGGGTCTTCAAGAGGGTCTCTCTAGAGCTGAGATGTTTAGATGCCCACCCCTTTCCATATGATCCCAAGGAAGGCAAAGACCCCACCGCTCAGTTTCCCTGCGAGTGCCACAGTGACACCCCTAAATTGAGAGGAACCGTGAAAGCAAGAGTACTTGCAGCGCAACAGGATTGTGATCTGTGTGACTACACAATGGCCACCTGATGAAGACTTTGTGTATCACACATACAGATAATTAGCTGATTTATCAGGAGGGAGAGGGGAACAAGTAGTCAAGTCCGAAGAGATGAAAGTATTGCCCATCCCAAAGAAACTTCAACAGCAAAGCAGCAACAGTTACTGAAGGCTGCAAACTCTTGAAAAGGCTACAGAAGAAGTGACAACTCAGATGGACTTGCCTGTACTGACTATTGCACTGATAGCTGAACCAGGCTGTTTTATCATTTGCAATACCAAAATGAACAGGCTTCAAGTCAAAACAAAGAATGCTTATTTTTTTTCCCCCTCTGTAACAATTTCAATGTTTTTTAATGAAGACTAGAGGCCTTTATAAGTCTAATGTGTGAAAGAAAAACTCCAAAGGTGTCTGGAAGAAAACAGGGAATGAACAGCCTAAGTCACAGCCTTGGGCAGCAACCTTGGATGCAACCCGAGTGCTGCCTTGCTCCTGCGATGGACCATAAACAGGGGGTCAAACTGGGGAGCCACCAGAGTGTCCCTGCCCTGCACCAAGAAATTGTGACAATAAGAGAATTTTAAAGTCAAGGAACCTGAGATCAGACACAGTAAGTTTGAAGGACTTGGACATTACAAAAGTCAACACCACAGAGGAGCTCCTGATAGGAATTGGCTAGGAGACTAATGGATACCAGTGCTTAATTTTCTTTAGAAACTGACCAACTGTCAAATGAAAGAGACCCACAGGCCCCTGAATCTGACAGCAGGCTGCAGATAACACTGCAAAATGAGGCCAGAGGTGACAAAGCAAACCCTTGATAGAAGGGCAAAGTCCCGATAATATTGGAAGGCACCTCCAAGAAAGTGAACAGAGGAAAAAGTGGCCAGGGCGACTTCTTTGATATTGTTATTTATTTTATATTGTTAAATTTTATATTGTTATTTTTGTATTTTATTGTATTTGTGCTGTGAGCCGCCCCGAGGCTTTGGCAAGGGGCAGCACAGAAATGTTTTAATAAATAAATAAAATAAAAAAACTCACACAGGGAGTTCACACAGGTAACTGTCAGGGGAGTGATGCCGTTTCCCCTGGGCCCTGACAGAGAAGCCAGCCTGTTTCACCTTGCAAGCAGCCGCAAGATTAGCACCAAGCCTGCAGGCGTTTGCAGGGTGAGAACCAGTGCAGTCATGCAGAGCAGCCAGGGTCCAGGGGAGGCTCTGTAAAGACTCTCCGGTCCCGCTCATTTTGTGACAGGAACATGAGTTTTCGTAGCGGCTACTCCAGGCTCCCAACTTGGCTTCCGAGTCCAATCTTGAGCAAGACCGGGAAGCCTCCTGCGACTCGCAGCTGGCCTGCATGGCTGCACTGGCATGTATCCTGCAGGTATGTATTGTACTGAGACTAAACCTGCAAGGTAAACCAGGCAGCCTTCTCACGGGGCCATCAGGGAGAGCTGCACTGCTCTGCCGAGCCCGGCATCCCCTCTCCCGCTGAAGCAGAACCTGCAAAGCAGGCCTCATCTGATGTGATGCTGGTCTCTTGCAGAACAGGGTCTAGCACAGTAGTGGGCCATGAATCCCCTTCTTCTTTCTTCATCTTTGGCTGGGCACGCCGATCTATAGGAAAGGGTGTAGAATCGGCCTTTTTTCTGCAGTGGTCCAGCCCAGTACGGGGGGGGGGGGGGGGGATTGGTCAGTTACATTTCGACCTGACGTTGGCCAAACTGATTGGTCTGATCATGCGGCAGGAAATGGTGGACAGGATGAAGCCATCCAGGAAGGTGCTGAAGCTGCACTGGTTCTCGGGCGTAGCTGGGATGCTTTCAAACAAATCCGGAGATTTGCCTCTCCAAACCCACAGCCTGTAGGTCTCATTCCAGGGCTACCACACAATGCCACAGGAAATAATTTTATCACGCTGGCTTGGTAAAACCATGACAATAGCAGTGTAATTGTATCCCGTGGCTCCTACCCAAAGGAAAAAAACACTAGGCCCATCAGCGGGTGGTAACTTTCCCCTACGGTCTACAAACTTACAGAAGGGGTGCCAAAGGGCCCCCCTGTTAGAAAAAAGTGTGGCAAACGTACTTACAGAATTAAAGCAAATATTGAAAGGAATGCCTTAAAAACTAGGAAAAAGAAATATGAGAATAAAATGGAAGAAAAGCACTCGGCTCCATCACCAAACAACCCATTTCATATGGAGAGCTCTCAGTGACAATGCTGTGGCAGTGACTGAAGAGAAAATGTGGAGAAATGTGGGGGTGCCACTCTCGGGGTGTGCACGGGATAGGGTGGGCTTCCCACCTGAACGCATCAGTTCTAGAGAGCTCTAAAGGAGGCACACAACCACACAAACGAACCCACGGGCCCCTGGGCTGGACAGAAGAAAGCAAGTTGCCTTGCAATTCGCCACTGAACCCTGACTCACTGCTGAATCTGACGTTTCAAAATATTCTGAACACGTTAATGGCAACCAGGAATGCCGGGCTGGCTATGAGATCCGGCTTTGCACAGGGGTGTCCAAGCGACACCTGTGGGCTCCAGTGGCTCTGGCAGATGTGCCAGCTGCATCGGCCCCTGAGAAAATCGCCTGGTGTTCCTGCACACATCAGCATCACTGGGATGGGCTCTGCCGTGCGGCTGCCTTTGAGAAGCGCTCGGAAATCCCGCCTGGCGTGGAACGCAGCAGCCACGTCCTTAAGGGAGGCTTCCAGGCTCGCACGAATCACGCGGCACCTGCAGATTCCCACCAGTTTCCTCCTCCTGAATCCGTGGATGGTGCTGAGCCCTAAGGGACTGGATTTTGGAAAGACTTGCCCGTAGGACGCTGCCTATTTACTGCAATATGGGGCCGATCATGCCTCCCCCACAACTTTAAAGGCGAGTCAGACACTTGCCACAAAAGGGCCTCCGCAGTGCTGGTGTCTAGGGAACGGAAACCTTCTTAGGGGCACTCCGTCCTCCACTCCACCCTCGCTTGGACGACTGCAGCAGCATCAAAACACTGAACCAGTGTTAACCCAGGTTCCATCTGGGTGCCAGGAAGCACTTCCTGACAGTCGGGACCCCGAGGGTGTGGAATGGGCGTCCAGCGGGGGTGGCTGAGGCCCCATCGGTGCGGGTGTTCAAGGAGAAGCTGGACATGCGCATGGTGGGCATGTCGTGAGTGGAGCCGGCTGGGGCCGGGGGTCAGACTAGACGGCCTGGGAGGCCCCTTCTGACTTGCTCCATGTTTCTATGTTTCTATATAGGTTAAAGGTCCTTTTGCTGGTTATTAGCTGTTGAAGTTCACTTTAATCCAGTAACTTTAGAAGTGGTTTTGTCTGTTCCCATTCATTTGAATTATGTTCCATGGATGTGTTAGGGCACCGTGCCACAGATGACGACAGGAATTGCAGAATACAGAAGACGTTAACCAAATGCTGCTCACTCAGCTCCCCTTTACAAACAGCAACATCCCCGGCCTCAGCTGTTCCCTCATGGCTCACAGACAGCGACATCTGCACTGGGAGAACTCACAGCGCCATGAGGGCACGATGACTTCAAACAGAGGGGAGCACTGTCCTTATCTCATACTGAAGCAATGGCACATGGAAGCTCAAAGCCACCGCCTCAGGTCAAAGCACGCGGACACCTGAGCGGGCCCTCCACGGAGTCATGACGGGGCTTCTCTAAAAGCACGCCTGTGCGCGCCTCAGACCTGTCCTTCAGTCCCTTGGTGCCCATGATGCGCTGCCTGGCGCAAGGGCAAGAGAAGAGCGCCAAGGCTGGGACGTTTCAGCTGCACAGAGAGGGGCATCGCAGGAGAACAAGTGAATGTGCCGTGCATTTGACACTGCCAGGTGTGATGACAAGCCATCACCTACTGCCAGCAGAGGATGTAATTTCAGAAACCCTCAATAGAATACAGCTGCGGTGAATGAGCTTAGAAAGTCCTTTAACTCTTTATCCTCCCATCTGCTGCCTATTTTAGATCATAAAGAAAGTTTCGGTTAATGCTCCCATGGTATCAGGTTCTAATTTCCAGCGGGGTAGCTATGTTAAACAAAACAAAACCTGAAGGACTCACACATTTACTATGGTATTAGCTTTCACAGACAAGAGCCTATTTCATCAGAAGTGTCTTGGGTTGATCTCCGGTATGAGCGTCACCATTAGATACCAGTTCAGTTTTCGAAACAAAAAAGACTCCCAAATGTTGCTACGAGGGTGTCCGAGTGCAGAGGGGCACCCCTTTATTTCTGAGATAACCACTTCTGGGATTTGACAGACTGCTTGATTTGGAGGCCAATTTCTTCCAAGGCCTTTTATACATTCTTAACATGATACTGAAACGAGATATCATAACTAAGACATTTATACGCAGCGAAGCTCTGAATTTTTCCCTCCCAAGTACACTATACATTCATTTTGCCCCTCTCCAGGTCTGTGGTGTTTCTGGCAGTCAGGCAAAGGAGTGTTCCTGGCAGAAACAGAACTCCCAACTATCTGATTGTATGCTAGGCCTGTCTGCATTCAGCACTGGAGCATTCACAGAATGCTATTTTGGGCCTTTTGAAAGACCCCTCCTTTCGAAAACTGAGCACATCGTGAAAATGGCAACTGCCAACGACAGCTATCACTGCCACCATTGAGAAGGAACCTCCTTGGACCAATATGACAGAAGCAAGTCTCTGTATCTCTTGGTGTCTCTTGGGCCAGCCCCAAGCCAGGCACTGGCGCTTCCATGCCCCAACATGTCATGAAGCAACCTGCCCTCAGGAACGCATGGCTATCTTCACACGATCCAATGCTGGTCCACTTCCTCCACCAACAAATGCCCGGGTTTGGCGCAATTGTCCTGAGCCACATGGCTAGTCATCTCGCGCCAATCTAACCTGGTTGCCATGGTTAACAAGTTGCTCCAGGAGCCCACAACATCTGCAGCAGCTTATGAGGCACTCCCATAGTTCAGATTCAGCGCAAGATTCAGTCTCTTGCCCTGGGTTCTTCTTCCACACATGGCTGGGCAGCAGCGATAGGCCCGCTTTAGTTTGGTATCTTAATCCTCTACTCAGTATATTAAGACAGACCTACCCCATGCCTTGGGCTGAAAACCTCCCTGCTCCTCTTCCTCGGCCACGTCCAAATCCTGCAAGAAGAAAAGAGTTTTGTTCAAGGGTGCAAGGCGGCAAAGCCACATCCAATTCCTAGGTTGCAAAATGAAAGTCCGGTTGAGTTAGGAGGGTTCCAAAGGAAGGTCTTCCCTTCCTTCTCTCTTCACAAGCAGCGCACACTTCTTGAACAAGGAAGCGATAACAGAAGAAGTATCCGAGCAGGACAAGCAACGTTTCCTCTACCCTCTTTATAAACATCAACAGTGAAAGTAAGGCCATTCTGACCTAGTCTTGATAGAAAAAGCAATAACAAATAAAACTGATGACATCCCAAGTCAATGACTGCAAAAGTGCAACCAGCCCAGTCAAAACAAGGAATACTTGGGTTATCGTCATTCCTCCCCACCATCAAACAAGCCTGGGGTCCAGCACTTGCCACATTCGAGGACCACAGGAATTCTTATGTTCTAAAGTTTTACTGCTTTCTAAATGGAGTAGCCTTCATAGTCAATAAAAGAGTAGGAAAAGCAGTACTGGGATACAATCTCCAAAATGACAGGATGATCTCAGTTCGAATCCAAGGCAAACCATTCAACATCACAGGAGTCCAAGTCTATGCCCCAACCACTGGTGCTGAAGAGGCTGAAGTTGACCGGTTCTATGAAAGCCTACAACACCTTCTAGAATTAACACCAAAAATGATGTCCTCACCATCATGGGGGACTGAAATGTTAAAGCAGGAAGCCACAAGATAACCAGAATAACAGGCAATTTTGGCCTTGGAGTACAAAATGAAACAGTGCACAGGCTGGTAGAATTTTGTCAAGAGAATACGATGGTCATAGCAAACACTCTTTTCCAACAACCCAAGAGACGACTCTACACATGGACATCACCAGACGGTCAACACAGAAATCAGATTGACTATGTGCTCTGCAGCCAAAGATGGAGAAGCTCTATACAGTCAGTAAAAACTAGACCAGGAGCTGACTGTGGCTCAGATCATGAGCTTCTCGTTGCAAAATTTAGGCTTAAGTTAAAGAAAGTACGGAAAAGCACTAGGCCACTCAGGTATGACCAAAATCATATCCCTGATGAATATACAGTAGAGGTGACAAATAGATTTAAGGAATTAGATCTGATAGACAGAGTGCCTGAAGAACTATGGATGGAGGTTTGCAACATTGTACAAGAGGCAGCAACTAAAACCATCCCAAAGAAAAAGAAATGCAAGAAAGCAAAATGGCTGTCTGAGGAAGCTTTACAAATAGCTGAGGAAAGAAGGGAAGCAAAAGGCAGGGAAGAAAAAGAAAGATATACCCAATTTTCTCTTAGAGAAAATTGGAGATATGAAGGGAACGTTTCATGCAAAGATGGGCATGATAAAGGACCAAAATAGCAGAGACCTAATAGAGGCAGAGATTAAGAAGAGGTGGCAAGATTACACAGAAGAACTATACAAGAAAGAGCTTACTTAATGTCCCTGACAACCACGATGGGGTGGTCACTGACCTCGAGCCGGACATCCTGGAATGTAAAGTCAAATAGGCCTTAGGAAGTCTGAGCAACAACAAAGCTATTCAAAATCCTAAAAGACGATGCAGTAGAAGTGCTACACGCGATATGCCAGCAAATTTGGAAAACTCAACAGTGGCCACAGGATTGGAAAAGGTCAGTTTACATTCCGATCTCAAAGAAGGGCAATGCTAAATAATGTTCAAACTACTGCACCATTGCACTCATTTCACATGCTAGCAAAGTGATGCTCAAAATCCTACAAGCCAGGCTCCAGCAGTACGTGGACCGAGAACTACCAGAAGTACAGGCAGGATTGTGAAGAGGGAGAGGTACTAGAGATCAAATTGTCAACATACGCTGGATCATGGAGAAAGCTAGGAAGTTCCAGAAAAACATCTACTTCTGCTTCATTGACTGTGCTAAAGCCTTTGATTGTGTGGATCACAACAAATTGTGGCAAGTTCTTAAAGAGATGGGAGTACCAGACCATTGTATTTGTCTCTTGAGAAACCTATGTGCGGGTCAAGAAGCAGCAGTGAGAACTGGATACGGAACCACTGATTGGTTCAAAATTGAGAAAGGAGTTCGGCAAGGCTGTATACTGTCGCCCTGCCTATTTAACTTGTATGCAGAGCACATCATGAGAAAGGTGGGGCTAGATGAATCACCAGTTGGAATTAAGATTGCTGGGAGAAATATCAATCATCTCAGATATGCAGATAATACCACTCTAATGGCAGAAAGTGAAGAGGAACTAAAGAGCCTCTTGATGTGGGTAAAGGAGGAGAGTGCAAAAGTTGGCTTGAAACTCAACATTAAGAAAACTAAGGTCATGGCATCCGGTCCTCTCACTTCCTGGCAAATAGATGGGGAAGAAAAGGAGGTAGTGACAGATTTTATTTTCCTGGGCTCCAAGAACACCGCAGATGGGGACTGCAGCCAAGAAATTAAAAGACGCTTGCTCCTGGGGAGGAAAGCTATGGCAAATCTAGACAGCATACTAAAAAGCAGAGGCATCACCCTGCCAACAAAAGTGCATATAGTCAAGGCCATGGTTTTCCCAGTTGCAATGTAGGGCTGTGAAAGCTGGACCATAAGGAAGGCTTAGCGCAAAAGGATTGAGGCCTCTGAATCGTGGTGCTGGAGGAGACTCCTGTGAGTCCCTCGGACCGCAAGGCGATCAAACCGGTCAGCCCTAGAGGAGATCAACCCTGACTGCTCTTTAGAAGGCCGGATCCTGAAGATGAAACTCAAATACTTTGGCCACCTAATGAGAAGGAAGGACTCCCTGGAGAAGAGTCTAAAGCTGGGAACAATAGATGGCAAAAGAAGGGGACGGCAGAGGATGAGGTGGCTGGATGGAGTCACTGAAGCAGTTGTTGTGAGCTTAAGTGGACTCTGGGAGATGGTGGAGGACAGGAAGGCCTGGAGGAATATTGTCCATGGGGTCGCGATGGGTCGGACTCAACTTCATGACTAACAGCAACAACACTCACTAAACAAATAATTACTCTGAAGACTTCAAACATACTGTGTACAAAGTCTTATTTCTACAAGTCTAGAAATAAGTCTACAAATGCTATGTATTTTAGCCCATCCGACTCTGTAGCCATTGACAGAAAAAGTCCCATGTTTGGTAGTAAATTGTATCTTCTTTTTCCTTAAGAGATAAAGTCAGTCTATCCATTTCTGCACAGTCCAATATCTTGTTCAAGACCAACTCTTCAGCCGGCCGCTCTTCATTCCTCCAGCACTGCGCATATGCGGTCCTTGCCACTGTTATTACATGCGAGGTCAAGCATTTACTTTGTTTATCAAGATCACCGGGGAAAATGCCTAACAGAAATATTTCTGATTTAAACATTACAGATCTTTGCAACATTTCCTCAAGCCATCTATGTATTTTAACCCAGTATTTTTTTTTTTTTGCTTTATCACAGGTCCACCACATGTGATAAAAGGTACCAGGTTTCTGTTTACATTTTGAGGACCACAGGAATTCTCAGGCGACCTGATCCAAGCGCAAGGGGATGGCAGGGGAAGTGCAAGAGGCAGGCAGTGTTGGGAAAGGCTCAGTGAGCCAAAGGCAGACTGTGAGCTACTGGTATGAGTGTGAATGGATCGTTCTGTCTTGCGTAGGATACAGAACTTAAGAGAAAGACCACCCTCTGACGGTTCAACCTCTGACTGTTGCCAGCTTTACAATTCTACATCGTTTCACTACTAATACTCCAGGGAGGCTCAACTCCTGCATCCTGCATCAATACAACCCAAATGCTTTACTTCAAATAACTGAAGCAACGCCAGCACAGCCGTCCCCTCATGTATGCCTGGAAGACACACTCAAGTTCCCGTGCCTGTAGGAGACTTTGCACAAGCATGTACTGCTCCAAGCTTTAATCCATCATCAAAGGAAACAAGAGACACAAGATTCTCAGAAACCCACGTGTCAGAGGTCTGCCCTCAATTAGCCCATGCTGGTTTCTTAGTAACTCTCCAATCCTGTGTCAACAGCCTCCTTTTTAAAAAGGAATCTTTCTCTTGCTCCCAATTTGTATCTTTTGCCAAGTGGCTCTTTTCCACATCCATGGCGATTCCTTGAGCAACCGTCTCTGTTTGTTCTACTCATCGGCATTCCATGATTTTTTGTGCCAATTAAGCTTCATGGTTTTACCAAAATAGTGCATTAGCCCAAGATATCAACAGAAAACAATGAAAAGCTAGACACACACAGGCTATATATAGCAGAATTAGGCCACTGCAAATGACTAGAGCAGCAAAGTAATGCAAACAGGAAACCTCAGTTTTGGAAAAGGCCAGCATGGAAAGCAGCCCTCACACCCAAGCAGATATGAGAACATAAAAGGAGCCACACTGGATCATGTATTCCCATACCTGCACTAAGCCTCGCAGAACGATACAGGTCTGGAAAAGAGGATGAGGACGCCCAAGCCTCCCTCAGTCGGGCCAAAAGCCTGCCGGGGGCCGCATTCTGCTCAGGTGCCTGTGGGACATGCAGAACAAGTAGCGCCCTCCTGCTTGTGTCCCACAGCAACTGGCGTGCTGCCTCTGAGACCAGCCGCCTCGAAAAACCGTGATTTCCTGGTGATTGAGACCCCCACTCCAAGAAGCCCCAAACCTGACCAATGAACAGGTATTCTGCGAGTTGAAGTCCAAAACAACTGGGAGACCTACTTACTATCCACTCCTGTTGCTGGCCAAAACAGAGCCACGAACAGTTTTTCCCACATTAGGGAATTTAAGGTGGCCACCAAAAAATGCTGCACATCTCACAAAAACTTCTCAGCGCCCCTTCGATCTGCGTGCTTGGGAGGCAGGCAGGCATTCTCAGAGCGAGGGCCGCCCTAACCTGGCTGGGCTCCAAACTCCCCAAGCAGCGTGGCTGGCGCAGGATGAGGGACGCTCTAGTCCACTGGATCTGGAGGCCAACAGGTTGAGTAGGGCTGACAAAGAGACCTGCTGGCCTTTCGAAGATCACAGGTCACCACAAAAAGCT